AAAGGGTGTTTCCTCCTTCTCGCCCCCTCTCCCCCTCCCCCAGCCCTCACCATCACCCACTTCTCATATTTTCCGTGGTGACCCTACTCCCCTGTCCCATGAGTTATCACGCGTCATCACCTCCTTCCCTGATCTTTAGCTGATCGCCCACTTTTCCTGGCAACACTCACCTTTCCATCGTCCCATCTCCCTCCTTCTCTGCCCTCCTGGTGGCCACCATCTGTGTTAACCCACCTTCTGCCCTCCCCTGTTTCCCACTCTCCAGGGCGGGTGGCCAGGAGAGTGAGGAGGGAAGGTCCCCAGGTGCGCTCCAGGGAAGGGCTGGCCCCAGGGCAGCTCTCTGGCTCCTGAGTGGAGAGGGTGATGTGCATCACACACCTTGCCTATTTGCTGTGCTGCACCTTGGGGGGCTTCCGGGGTGACCTGGCTTCATCCTGAGAGCGACCAGAAGCTTTTTAGCACTGGGCAGCCTCTAGGACTGGTCATATGAATCAGGTACACCGAGTCAAGCCTGAGACTGTCTCCCAGGTGTTCATTGTGTCACAAGGTCTATTTGATTGGACTTGCTCACCAACTGGCCATGAATTTGGACCCTATTCCCAGAGCCAACTGACCTTTACGATCTGGGATTGCATATTATCAAAGCGCAGAGCTGCAACGAGATGTCCCCATCCCTGATGAGGACAGGAATGACACAGAGGAAAATGAACAGATGCGTGAGGGAAGCTGGAAGTTACTATGGTCACTGAGACAAGGGGGGAGGGAATAGATTCGCTCCCCCTGGGGGGATGACGAGTTGTCACCAGGTGCCTGTGAGGGTCAAATGTTTGAAGCAGTGCTTAATAAACTGTCAGTCGCCCTGCAAATGGAAGAGTTTCTTTTATTGTCACAATTCAGCTGTGAGCTTATAAATCCACTTCTGGGTGCACGGGCTTGCCAGCATATTTTGGCTAAAAGTGACTGACACATATGAAAAATCCTAACTTCAGCTCTCAGTGCTGTTACGAGCTTGTGTGGAGGGTCCGAAGTTGGGGTTCAGGGGATCTGGATCTTTTACTGCCTTTTGCTTATAGCTCAGCTTTAGGGAGGGCTCATGGCTGACTTTGTACAGATTGAGGCTTCCCCAAGGAGGGGGTGAGCAGCTGGGGTGTCCAGTGGAGAGATTTCCTTATCATCTGCCCTGTTTGCTGTTTGCATTTGGATTGACTTAAACTTCAGCGATTAGCAGGGGCTGATGGGAACTAACACTTAACAGGTGTTTGGTAAATTATCACCATCTCACTCTTAGCACACTGAAGAAAAACCTGTCCCCTTGAGAGACTGAATTTAAAAGTTCCAATTAGGGGTTTAGCTCAGTGAGGAAGGAAATCCTTTTAGTAAAAGTGCTTGTTATCACACAAGTGACAGTTTCACACTGAATGTCGCTGGGGTTCTGTTTGGGAGATGGCTTGCAAACCAAACACCCGTTCATCCAGCCTTTCTTCCCTTTTCCTAAAGAGGGAACAGCTGCCAGCCTATGATATAATCAGGAGAGATCCAGGGGGCTGGAGGGGTCTCTTAGCATCCAGTGGGTCCCAGCCTTTCCTTCTCAGATTCTTCTCCTGAGTCTGAGAAGAAATTGAAAACATGTGAGAAAAAAATTCAGCTTCTAACCTCCCCACTCTTGTATTTTTCCTAGAAACATAAAAAATTTCCATGAATATTCAGCATGTGTGTTTCTGACTTACTAAACATTATAGTCAAGTGATTCTTTATTCAACTGAAACTGGGAAGAAGCAAGTAGGCAGTTAATGAGCACCTAAGGTTTCCCTTTCATTTTTGACTAAGCAAATCCGGGGAGGAGAAAAATCACTGGCGATACGGAGGCAACAAGAGTGTCCAGGATTTACCTTTAGCTGATGGGATTCCAGGTCTTGAGATACCTTTGTTCCCACGCTCTGCCTTTGGTTTGCCGGCTAATTGCTATGGATGTCACATGCCCTAGCAGTCACCTGCATGTATCGAGAGCTCACTGTGACCCAGTCGTAAGTGCTTTACATCCATCCATCGTCATTCATCTTCATCCAGTGACACGAACATTAACCCCATTTCGTGGACGAAGAAACTGACACTTAGGAGAAATGATCTGCCCAAGGTTGGGATTAATACTGAGGTCAGCCCATCTCCAGGCTGGGCTGTCGTCTGCGAGGTAGCAAGGATTTTCAGTCCCCAGGGAAAGGGGCGTCTACAGCTTTCTCACTATTTTAGTTGCCTGAGCGAGAAGAGAGGATAGAGTGCAAAACGAGTGTTCTGAATTGTGCTCCTCGAGATAAGGGACTGTGTGAGCCCTGCAGAACAGAGACCTGGCTGCTCTCGTCGGATTAGAAAGAGCAGGGTGGACAAAGGGTTTCAGAGAACCCCGGGAAACAGCCAGGGTTTTATAGACTTGGGCAGCATGACCGTTGAGCGCTGGGCCTCCTTTTAGGTCACGAGGATAATCAAGGTGGCAAAGCATTCTGGCTGTTTTAGGGATGCTGTTGGTTGTGGGAGACTGAGTTAGAGTCCTGGGAGGACTTTTATGTCCTCTCTGTCCCCACTGTTTTACTTTCGTGACCCCCTGGGTGAGGCCAGTGGGTCATCTCCAAGCAGGTAGAAAGAAAATGCCTGTATCTGCCACCGCGACCCCAGAGTGCCCACTTCCTTTTCCAACTTGGTATTCGCCCACCCCTTGTCGGAAGGTCAAGAGAGATTAAGTACGAAGGATGAAGTGCTTGAAAAGAGAAAGTAAAATGGAGAACATGCAGTTTTTAAAGTCCCTTTGCCATTTTTAAGATGCTTTTGAATCCAGATTTCTTTTTAATAAAAGGTACAAAGATTAAAGGAAATATTTATTAAATACGTACGATGAAATAGTACAGCAAAGTGGACAGACATAGGCTTTGCAGTCAGGTGGGGTTTGTGTCCCTGCTCTGGCTGTGTGACTGGTGAGTTACGTGATTCCTCTGAGCCTCAGTTTCCTCATCTGTAAAATGGGGATAATAGCACCTCCTACGGATGGCACAAAGTAGATGCGACTGCTGGAATTATCACACAGCACTTGATGTGGATTAAACACTACTGGCCTTTTGGGAGATGGAAGTAGCGGTAGAATGGGGAGAGAGCACACAGGATTACAAAGTGTGTCCCCTACCAAGAAGGACCTTCCCAAATCATCTGAGACTTTGCATTGCAGCTGAGGACTTTTGTAGGCATAAAACTTATGCTGTTTTGTTTTTCATCCCAGGTTTGGACTTCCCCAAAACTCCTTTCACAGGGACCAGCGCCACTTGCTAATGTGACAAAAACCAGCTCCTTTTCCTCCCACCGCAGTGACTTTTGCTGGGAGTGGAGTGGTGGGCCCGGCCGGCCTCGTCTCTTATCAATGCCGCCCTTGGCAGGATCCGAGGACCGGTGGCAGCCATGCCTCCCCCTGCCCCAGCCGCTCCTTCCCCCCGGCGCTAACCTGCACGGTGTGGGTGCCCTCCGGACCCCCGAGGACTGATCGTCTGACCTTGCTTCACACCCCCCAGTAACAACTCCCCCAAGATGTCCCTCGAGTGGCTGGTGGCCTGGGGCTGGTCGCTGGACGGCCTGCGGGACTGCATCGCCACCGGCATCCAGTCCGTGCGGGACTGTGACACCACCGCCGTCGTCACGGTGGCCTGCCTGCTGGTCCTGTTCGTGTGGTACTGTTATCACGTGGGCAGGGAGCAGCCCCGGCCCTACGTGTCCGTCAACTCCCTCATGCAGGCCGCGGATGCCAACGGGCTGCAGAACGGCTATGTGTACTGCCAGTCCCCCGAGTGCGTGCGCTGCGCCCACAACGAGGGCCTCAACCAGAAGCTCTACCACAACCTGCAGGAGTACGCCAAGCGGTACTCCTGGTCCGGCATGGGCCGCATCCACAAGGGCATCCGCGAGCAGGGCCGGTACCTCAACAGCCGGCCCTCCATCCAGAAGCCCGAGGTCTTCTTCCTGCCTGACCTCCCCACCACGCCGTACTTCTCCCGGGACGCGCAGAAACACGACGTGGAACTGCTGGAACGGAGCTTCCAGACCATCCTGTGTGAGTTTGAGACCCTCTACAAAGCCTTCTCCAACTGCAGCCTCCCACAGGGCTGGAAAATGAACAGCACCCCCAGCGGGGAGTGGTTCACCTATTACTTGGTCAACCAGGGGGTGTGCGTCCCCAGGAACTGCAGGAAGTGCCCACGGACGTACCGCTTGCTCGGAAGTCTTCGGACCTGTATTGGGAACAATGTTTTTGGGAATGCGTGCATCTCCGTGCTGAGCCCCGGAACTGTGATAACGGAGCACTATGGACCCACCAACATCCGCATCCGGTGCCATTTAGGTATGTTGCGGGGACAGGGTTCTCCTGGCACGCACGTGTCTGAGTACATTCCCTCTGACTTGTGGGAATCGAAACATCGCAGAAGCTCAAGTAGCCAGAATTGTGTCCCTTTTTACATTGTTCACTGCCCTTTGATCAAAAATTGATGAATTGCATGTAAACTATTTTGACAGCAGAGATTGAGTCAAAGAGAATCTTACGATCAGTATAAACCTAATTTCTAACAGAAGCTCTGTTCAAAAGAACTTCCCGCAGTGATAGAAATGTTCTCTGTCGTCATTGTCCAAGACGGTAGCCGCCAGCCACATGGGTCTGTTAAGTGCTTGACATGTGGCTCCTGCCACTGAGGGACCAAGTTTTTAATTTAAATTTCAGTGGCCACCTATGGCTAGTGGCTACCATTTTGGACAGTGCACCTCTGGAAGACTTAAAAAGATTGCTGAGGCCGGGCGCGGTGGCTCACGCCTGTAATCCTAGCTCTCTGGGAGGCTGAGGCGGGTGGATTGTTTGAGCTCAGGAGTTCGAAACCAGCCTGAGCAAGAGCGAGACCCTGTCTCTACTAAAAATAGAAAGAAATTAATTGGACAACTAAAAATATATAGAAAAAATTAGCCGGGCATGGTGGCGCATGCCTGTAGTCCCAGCTACTCGGGAGGCTGAGGCAGGAGGATCGCTTGAGCCCAGGAGTTTGAGGTTGCTGTGAGCGAGGCTGACGCCACGGCACTCACTCTAGGCCGGGCAAAAGAGTGAGACTCTGTCTCAAAAAAAAAAAGGATTGCTGAGGTTCTTAGTGATGTCCAGGGGGCCAGGAAAGATGCTGAGTGTCTGCGGAATGATCAGGGATGAAATGATACTTGGTGTCAAGTTTATTTAATTCAGATTCTAAGATGATTGGGAAGATGTGTCTTGTGCGTATGGCAGTGGTTTTGCAAACTGGGTCCAGAGTTAGACTGCCATTCTGTGCAGCCTGTGCCAGCTGGCTGGGTTCCTTTGGGCAAGTCATTTCACCTCTCTGAGCCTCAGTTTCCTCATTTGGGAAGAAGAGGTCCAAAGATCACCCTCTACAGAGTTATTCTGAGCATCTGATCAGATAATGTGTATTGCAAAGTATTTACTGGGAATCACAGAGCCTGGTACAGGGTGAGAAGTCGGTCAATGTAGGCTTAGAAACAACCGGGTAAATAGGGAGATTCATCCCCCGGAACGCCTGTTCCTGGCGAGTGGCAATGAAAGGCCGGTTACCAGGATGGTGGCATCACTGGTTAGCATCCTGGACTAGAGTGTGCTGAGATGGCCTCAGCAACGTCCAGCTGTAGGAAGTTTGCGTCGCTGCCGCAGCTGCAGAAGGAAGAGCAGAAATCGGAGCCTGAAATCCCCGGAGCAGGGATTTCGTAACCGTGTGCTGCGGAGGAGCCGCGGGGCTGCCTGGGGAGGAGCCTGAGCCGGGAGCCCCGGGCCCTCCTCCCCCGCTTCACCCACATTAGCTCTGCCGCTCCCGCTCTCGGTGTGGGGATCTGAGTAAGATCTGGTTTGGACAGAGGACTTCACTGCTTAAAAAAGAAGAAGAAATAACTAGATTAGAGCAGTTGACATGGTAGGGATTTCAGGAGTAAAGGCAGGACAGGGTGGAGGCTCTGGGGGGTGGGGGTGGCCTGAATTTGTGGTCAGCAGTGAGATTTGGGCAGATGACTGAGTCCCTCTGTGCCTCAGTTCATCATCTGTAAAATGGGGAGATGGGGTACTTACTCCCCATGCTTATCAAAAGGACTAAATAAGTAGCATGTTATATGGCCACTTGGCACAGTGCCTGGCACAGTGACAGCACTTGATAAATGGTAGCTAGTAGCTATTGTGACCAAACACTGATCACCGGACTGTGTGAAAAACGATCTGTGAGATGTGATCTCTGCCCTCAGGAAATAGTGGGAAATGAACAGGTTTTGGAAACAAACAGATCTGGACTCGGGTCCTGATTGCGCCCCATTTACCGAGTGCCCTTGAGCAGGGCCCTGAAGTTCTGGGAGCTTCCATTTTCTCCTCCCTAAAATGGAGGTAGCGATGCCTACCTCTGGGGTGCTTTGGGTAGAATTCTCACGCGTAAAGAGCTTGGCAGGTAGAGGGCGGTCAGTGAATATAAGCGGTGGGTGATGATCCAGGCGATGGCCGTGATCAATAAAACCTCTGTGCGAGGCACCAGGGCGCACTCTGAGATCAGGAGCAGGGGCTGCAGATGGGGTGCTCTGGGGACATGCGTCTCACCCTGCGGATCGCTGGGCGCAGCCACGGGTGGAGCAGAGGAGAGGGGTCTTCCCCTGTGGGATCGGGGGAGCCGTGTCTAGGCTTGCTGGGGAGACCAGCGGTGTGGGCTGATGTCGGACGGGTCGGGTGGGAGCAAACCACGGAAGGCGTCGATCCAGGTGTGCGAATCCAGGCTGTGTGCAACGAGGAGGGATTCTTCTCTTTTTAAAGGTTTTCCTTTATAAGTTTTTTAAAGGCTTCAGAATGACAGGGAAGGGCGTTCTGGGGTCAGTGTAGTAGAATTCCGGGCAGGTGTGTTGAGGAGGAAGGGTTGGGGCTAAGACAAGCGAGGTTTGCTTCCTGTGGGTTAATGTGTGCTGTGCGTGTGTGTGATATCCATGCGCACATGTGCATGTGTGAAGCCTGCCCACATGGCCCCTCGCTGGGGCCTGTCATTCCCCTCTCGGCCCAGCTAGGGACTTGCCAGAAAAAGTGGGTCCTCCATGTTCCCAGGGACGGCAGGAAGCCTTGGAAAACGTCCCACTGCGGTGTGGCTGGTTGTCCACAGCCCAGGCGAGCTCCCTGGCTGGGTTTTCTCACCGTTTCCTTCTTCACGCCGTCATACCTGCATTAATATCCGCCCAGGAAGTAAACAAGGGTGTGTTGGGCCACACCTGGCCTGAAGGTGGAGGCACCTGCAGTTCTAAACTGGGTGCTGTTTAGGCTTCTAAGACCTGGGCTATAAACACACACACAGACATACAGAACTGCGCTCTTAAAATGCCAGCTCTTTCTCCTCTTCCTCTGCCTTCTGTCTGAGCTGTGACTGGTGGAACTGTCCCTGCGGACCCCTGAAACCCCAGCCACTGCTCTTCACTCGCACTGCCCATTTGTCTGGGACACGTTTGCTGAGCCCTGCTCTGAGCTACCTCCCGAAGTGGCATCACCGAGTCCCGACTTCCTGTGGAAGCACCGGGCAGCTCCGGGCCCACCCATTCCCCAGCACTGCGTGAGGGGCTAGACATTCCAGACGCACCGCCACAAACTTTCAGAGAGCAACCTCCGAAACTCACCAGGCAGATGTTGCCGGGGAGGCAGATGCCACATGAAAATGCATGAGTTGTGTTCAGCAAATTCTAGCCAAATAAGCACAATCGGACTCCTTGTTTTTCTTTTATGCATATGTTGTCAGATTTCTAGGCAGTCTAGCTGGGTCGTGCTGGTGGATCAACTCGTGCTTACCTTGCTTACCCTGAGTGTCGGTCACCAGGCTCCTGAAGTGGGGGCCGCTGTTGGGCAGAGCTCTTCCTCCACCCTCCTTCCTGCTTCCTTCAGGTGTTGGTGGGGACAGAGCAGCAAGCCCTGAGCCACGGAGGAGCCTGAGACACATGGGGGACTGTCCGAGGCCGTGTGGAGGGCCTGTTTCTATCCCCTTGAGCCACTCGAATGCTCTGTTTGGGGGTGGGTATTGATCATCTCTGCCAGCTAAGCTGGTTTGTGGGCAGCAGGCAGGCATGGGCCATTGGAAGGCTGGAGCAGGAGGAGGGGGAGGGGAGGGGAGGGCAGGCAGCATGGGGTGCCAAGCCAGCAAGCCAGGCCATTTTTCCATTGCACCATGGCACGTGGCGATGAATCATCTGTGGAGAGAAAGGGGAGCTTCTCTCTGAAACCCCTGGGGTGGCTGTCCCTGCAGAGAACTACCTATTCCTAAAGGCCTGCTCCACCTGAATCACACACAAAAGGAAAACGTGGCCTGTGCGGCCCTCTCCCTGGGCCAGGGCGTGCAGACTGAGCGCCTTTATAACCCCCGGCTGTTACTACCCATAGCAGGGAAATCGTGCTTCTAGTGAGGACTCACAGTCTGCGCTTACTTAATGAAATCTACTACCGAGATTGAAACATATTAACTACAAGACAATGCGCAATCACTTTAATACCACTGCTAACAGTATAACTATTTATATCATAGTGCCTAGATTTATAAGAGCCTGTTCTTTGAAGCCAGCCAGACTCAGCTGAGCAAGAACTACATAGTAACTTTTCAGCAGATCACTTAACTTCTCAGTTGCTCCATCTGGAAAATGGGTGAAGAGACGTATGAAAATCGGTAAAGTGGCCCGGCCCGGTGGCTCACGCCTGTAATCCTAGCACTCTGGGAGGCCAAGGTGGGAGGATCACTTGAGCTCAGGAGTTCAAGACCAGCCTGAGCAAGAAGGAGACCCCATCTCTATTAACAATAGAAAAATTAGCCGGGCGTGGTGGTGAGCACCTGTAGTCCCAGCTGCTCAGGAGGCTGAGGCAGGAGGATCGTTTGAGCCCAGGGGTTTGAGGTTGCTGTGAGCTATGATATGATGCCACTGCACTCTTACCTGGGCAGCAGAGACTCTGTCTCAAAAAAAAAAAAATGAAAAGAACAGAAAATGGGTGAAGTGATGTATATAAAGTATTTATTTAGCATAAACCTGTACACAGTAAGTCTTCAGTTATTGGTAACAAGGATAAAGGTTGCATACTTAACCCCTAAAGGTTAAGTATGCTAATATCCCCTCGTTATAAATGAGAAGGGTATGGCTCAGAGAGGTTGAGTGCCTTGCCCAAAGTCACATAGCACATAAGGGACAGAGCCAGATGTCTGTCCCCAAGTCCTCTGTCCTTCCCTCTCCTCCATGTGACCTCTTTATTTGAATTATTACTCCGTACATGCTTCCTGGAGCCATTATTTCTGGTTCAAAGAATGCATTAAAACACTCTGGCTGCTAGAGAGGAAATCATTTCATTTTGTCATAAAGGACATTAAATCACAGGGAGAATGCCAACTTGCCCAGGGTCATTGTTGTCACAGTGAGACCACCACCATCCCAAGCTGTCTTCCAGGGCTCTGTTTCCTCCTGGGTTGTCCTTCCTGAGAGCTGTCGGGCTGACCCAACCCCTTCTGAAATCATTAGACAGCCGTGGTGGTGTCTTCATCTATGGACATCGAGGCAGTGACAGGGGCCACATGTTTCTGCAGACCCTTGGGTTGGAAGTGGGGGCGTGAAGGGGCACACGTGGCAGTGGTCCAACTGGACCCCGCCTGGGTTACGGCGCCCTAGCCTGGGCCTCGCCACTTGCATTTCAAGCATTTGTCTCCTTACAAAGGTGCCAGTCTGTTTCCTCTTCAAGGTCTTGGGGTGTCCTCCAGTTTCCCAGAATGAGGCCAGGGAGACTCAGACTGAGAACACGCCATCCTCCAACCTTAAGATGGACTTAAAGGTTAGAACCCAGAGAGGAGGATGCTGTGTGAGCCTTTCTGTCTTTAATTGCAACCAAAATGGCGCTAGAGGTGGGACTATGGTGAAGACAGTTATTGGGCAAGGCAGGGCTCTAAACCCGACCTCCCTCGACTTCCGGGGGTCCCATGGTTTGGCTTCTGGAGTCTCGAAAGTGTCGTACAAGCCTCCGTCTGTGGCTTTAATCAAAGGAGTCCATGACCCAGAATAGACGAAGCCAACGAAGGAATGGGTTTTTGCCAAGAGCAGTGAGTCCGAGATCAAGGCGCCAGCACATTCCGTGTCTGGTGAGGACCCGCTTCTGGTGCAGAGACGGCGCCTTCCCGCTGTGTCCTCACCCACTAAAAGGAGGTAAACAAGCGCCCTCGGGCCTCCTTTATGAGGGCACCTACTCCCGTTCATGAGCACCCCCTCTTCATGACCTGATCACCCCCAAAGGCCCCAGCCCCAACACCACCATCTCGGGGTTTAGGTTTCAACGTGTGAATGTCGTGGGCACACAGACATTCAGACCATAGCATGGGCCCCGGAGGGGCGAGGCCGGAGGCTGTCACCCAAGCAGGTCACCCCTGCCTCCTGGCCCGCCCGGCGTCCGCCAGCCTTCACTCTCTTTCTTCTGTTTTTTCCATGAGGTCTGAAAACTCCAAATGGCTGTGAGCTGGTGGTGGGGGGAGAGCCCCAGTGTTGGGCAGAAGGACGCTGCCTCCTCTTCGATGACTCCTTCCTGCACACCGCGTTCCACGAAGGTGAGTGGCCGCCTTCCCCACTTCTTTTGTTTTAAAGAAAAAAAATTAATAGACTTTATTTGTTAGAGCAATTTTAGGTTTTTGGAAACATTGAGCAGAAATTACTAAGTAGGCCCCTTCACATCACCCCTCAACACACACACACACACACGGTTTCCCCTCATTGCTTGCAATTGACCAGCTAGTATTGGCACATCGTTATTAGACTCTGTGGTGTACGCTGGGGTCCACACTTGGCGTCATACATTCTGTGGGTTTTGACAAATGTATGAGGACACGTATCCGCCATGACAGCATCACACGGAGTAGTTTCATTGCCCCGAAAACTCCTCTGTGCCCTGCCGAGTCATTCTTCCCTCCACCTCCTTTTATCCACCCCGCTCAGAACCCCACGAAGCCACATTCCTGACCAGAGAGGAAGAGGTCTCCTGCTCCGGGCTGAGGGACAGAATGGGTCCCTGCCCTGAAGCTCTGCCTGGGTCCTGGCTCTAGGGTGGTCTGACCCTCTCCTGTCACCCCCTCCGTCCCCCCAGGCTCAGCAGAGGACGGCCCACGGGTGGTTTTCATGGTGGATTTGTGGCATCCAAACGTCGCGGCGGCCGAACGGCAGGCCCTTGATTTCATCTTCGCCCCAGGACGATGAGAGTGTTTCCCGTGCGGGGGTCGGGAGAGGGGCCGCGGTGAGCTGGACACACTGTGGCCCCATCCAGCCTACGCCTGTGTCACAATTCCACGCTCAGAAACCTGCCTCGATGGAAAGCTCTTATTTGGGTATTTGGGATTTTTATATCCTGTCGGATCCCTCCTTCCTTTGGTTATTGTAAATGGAAACTTTTCAGCTTGTATTTCCTTAGGTTTTTTTTTTTTTTCCTTCCAATCATTTGCTTCTGAGATTTTTTTCTGGCCTATTAGCGCATTCCTTTGACTCTGTGACCAGAGACCCAGTGCCCTTGTAAGTCTGCGTCTCGTTGCTACTTGTGTTTTCGAGTGCTCTGAAATACAGTAACCGAATGGTTATTTGTCTGAATGTAATAACGTAGAACTTCTCGTGGTCATCGTAAGAGAAAAAAAACTAAAAACTGCAAACCAGAGAGCTGCAGAACTTGGCCTCTGATGTTGGCACCCAGGGGACCCTGCAGCCACTCCAGGGCAGGGGGACAGTCTGCAGCCCCCGCACCCGGCGGCTTCAGTAGCAGGTGGAGAAGCTGCCAGACATGGTCAGGGTGGTGCACGGCGTCCAGGCCCAGGGAAACTGTCACCATCGCTTACCTCGCCCCAACCCCTGTCAGGTCCCTGATGGCAACGGCATTCGGCCAGTGGGACTGGAGGCTGTCCTTGCAACCCGGCTTTCCTACAGGGCCGAAGCTGGTGTCCCCAAGAGCCAAGCTGCAGCTCGCACAGAGCAGCCACGAAATGTGTAATCCGCTTACCTCACTGCCTACAGAAGCCCTACTGCCAAACCAGGCCTGGAAAATTCCCAGTTTTCGTTGTTTTGAGTCCATGGCGACGAACATTAAGACCACCAGGTTGGCTGGTAAGAGCCGAGGTGGGATAAGACCTCCCTCATCCAGTGACGTCCTGGGAAAACCTTTCTTTGGCAAAACTGGAATCAAAGATCTGGCCAAAGTGTGTCTGTTTTGCTTTGGAGTTCTGTTGCCTATGGTTTTTTTTTTTTTTTCCCATTTATTTGTACATAAATGTTCAAACACTAGACACAGAGATAGGGGAAGAGTCGTGTGTCTTTGTCATTGCACAAAGGTATGCGTGGAGTGGCAGTGACCCAAGCCAGTGTGCGTTAGTGAGGACACAGGGAAGACCTCCAAACCCAAAGGACCCACGATCGCTGCGCTGGCTTTCCGGTCTCCCGTGAAGAACACGCAGACCTCTTCCCAAAGGAAAAGGCCAGGAAGCCAGTGTCAGGCACTCAGCCTAGAAGCAGCCTCTGCTAACTGACACGTGAAAGCGTAGCCGGCCAGCCGTACTAGAGCTGCCTTTTTTGGAATAATGTATCGTGGGCAGTGTCAGATTTACAAAGCCAGGGAGTGGTCTGCAATATACCTGGTCACAGGTTTAGGTCCAATGTTTATATCAGAATGGAGACCAGCAGCTTCTAGAAGGTACAGCTGTCTGAAGGAAACACAGTCTGAAATGCACTAGGTAGTAACTAGCAAGTGTGCAAAGAGAACATGTCTACGTTCGAGCAAAACGTCTGCACAGATACTTGTCAGTGATGAGAATGCAGGAAAAGGCAGAAATTTCAAATACAGCCGAAGGTCTTTTTACTAATTAATTATCTTGTTAGAGAATCACTGAGGTGCATGATTTCTATACATCCTGACTGCTCTACGTTTACAAAACCAACAGCCCACGCAGGTACCTGGCTACCTGTATTCATGGGACGTGGTTGGGGATCGGAAGATAAATAAAGGATCTTGCTGAAAACCAGAGGGAGGTGGTGACGTCGTCTGTTGGAAAGAAGGCGTGCCTGACTGGGGCACGCGTGTGACTCTGAGGCTCTTGTTTTGAGCTGTGTCTCAGAGACAGGCAGGACCCAAGCTGATCATGGGCAGTGATCGAGGCAACGTGTATTTCTAGAATCATGGGCATGGGCGGGGAGAGAGGAGCAGCTCTGTGGAATGTTAAGGAACTGTCGATGTCGGTCTGAGCAGAGAACAAGGACTTCGGCTTCAGGAGTCTGCTCCCTGTGGCCTCGGAAAGTCCCTCGGCCTCTCGCTGTCTCGGTCTGCCCGTCTGTAGAGACGTTACCTGGCAGATGACAACGCTGGCTCCCTTTCTGCCACAGCAGGGTGGAGGCAGGTAGAGAGGAAGGATGGTGCGAGGGAGAGACGTGGCCAGGGGAGCCAGTGGCTACTGCCAGTTGCTTCTGTCTCATCGCAGAGGAAGAAGAGTATCCCTCCAATAGCTATGTTTGTGCTTTATCCCCTCTCTTATAAGAGGGAGAGGGGACTCTTGTGGCCGGGAGCCCCAGGTGTTTGCGCCCGCAAGCCTGGTTCCAGTGGCCGTCCTGGCTGGGCTGCTGCAGCGCCTGGAAGGGAAGAGCACCACTCGCCGGGGACCACGGTGTTTCTCACCCTGCTAAAGCATGTGTTGCCAAATAGGCAATTGCTAAATTAATTTGCATGTTACAGCTCGGGATGCTCAAGGTGAGAAAGGGGAGCCGCCCGCCCAGCTGCCAACGGGAACCCTGCCTTCCAGCCCGAGGCAGCCTGCGTTCGCTTCCAGCTCCCTCCGAGCCTCCCAGGCACGGCCAGCCCAGGCACTCGACTCGCACGAGGTCACGCGCCCGGTCTGCTGACGCCAAACCCTTCCTCCCAGGCACCCGCTCATCATCCCCCAGAGTTACCTACATTTGGTGACAGTGACCAAACTCGTAACACTGAGTGCCCTACAGTGTATAGCAGGAGAGAGGAAGAGTCATCCTAAGCCGCTGGTTCTTGGCTTTGGCCGCCAATACAGTCACCTGGGGAGCTCTGGTGCCCACACCTCACCCCCAAAGCATCTCGTTTTGTTGTTCTGGGAGTGGGGCTCAGGCATGGGTATTTTCTAAAACCTGTTTCCTGTCGCGATTCTATGTGTAGCTGGGGCCGAGGGTCACTGCTCCGAGTGGCAAGAATGGTAAGGCCTTTGAAACCAGCAGCTGGAGGTTAGGGTCTGGGCTGTGCCCCTGTGTAACGTGAGGCAGGCCACCTAACCTCGGTCTCCAGGGGACAGCCAGTGTTTAACCCTCTCTTGCAAGACCACAGCATCCCCCGTGCTCAGTCCTTGGGTGTCCAGGACCCGACCCAGCTCCTGGGCTGGGGCCGTGATCCAGACCCAACCAATCAGAGCCTTCCAAACTCCTGGCCACTCACATGGGGTCAGGGCTGGGCACATGATACAAGTTCTTTTGCTGGGACCATTGAAAAAGAGAGGCCACTTCTCCTAGGGAGGGGTGAGGGAGGGGGTCTAGTGGAAAGAAAACCTGAGAGTGAAACCCACAGAGGCCCCACCCTGCGGCCATCACGAGTCCTGAATACAGCTCTGCCCGAAACCAGCTCAGCCTCTGCACTTTTCCGTTAAAGGCGCCAACAAACGCCCTTTTGATTCTTAAGCCAAGTTCGAGTTGTGGTTTCTATCCCTTGCCACCAAAAAATCCTAGTCTACTCTGTGACCTTTAAGTTAGGCTTAAATAAGATACTATTATGTCAGGTTCTGGGTAGACAGGAGGTGCCCCATACACATTTATAAAATGTAAGTACGAGCAGGCTTAGTACAAAAGGCTGATCTGAGGACCATCTTGCCTGCCGCCAGCCACCTTCCCTGACGCTCACCTCCCCGGCTGAATCTTGCTAACCAGATGTAAACACAGGGAACAGGACAGAATAAGGCCACATATTTTAGCACTGCTGACAGATGGCAGTGAAAATACTCAAGCAGATTGTAGCATTAGGAGGCAGGAGGCAGCTCACACAGGGACTGGTTCGCTTCCCGCCTCCTTCCCAGGCACGCACGTTGGTTCTGACTGCTGGTTACCTGCCCTTCCCCGAGACTCCGCACGTCCCGTGCGCCAGCCACCCCCGAGTTCAAGGTGAGGGTGCTCGCTGCTTTGAGCACAGAGACGCTGTGCACCCTGCAGGGTTCCTTCCCACACGTTTTCCTAGTCGATACTTGCGGCCACACCGGGGCAGGCACGGTCACACACACTGAACACATGAGAAAACCGAGGCTCCGAGCAGGCAGGTGACATGAACAACGTCACGTGGCTGGTTGGAGGGTGGGCTAGAATTGGAAGCCACGTACCTGGGCTCGCAGCTCAGTGCATCTTCTGAGGTCTGGACACAAGGCAGGACACTGTCCCTGGTGTGTGGAGGGACCCCTTTGGGAGGCTGGTGGCCTCAGGACACACAACACGGAGCTCTATTTTCTGAGGGCCCACGACAGGCCAAGCCCTTACATACGTTACCTTCCCCGCTCCATTTTAAAGAGGACACTAATGTTCAAAGAAATAAAGCGATTTGCTCCAATTTCTATAGCAGTTAAGTTGCAGAGCTGTGACTTGAACCTCTGACGCCAAAGCCCACGTCCTCCTGCCGCTGCCCCAGCAACCAGCTCGGCCGGCCACGGTGCCTTTGCAGCAGCACACACAGGAGACAGCTTGTCTCACGCTCCCACTCGCCGTGGGGCCTTTCTGGGTCCCAAAGCCAGGGCGCCAAGCCCTATCCTTGGTGCCCTTGGCCAGTGGACAGGAAGGCAGGAGAGAGAGGGGAGAAGGGCTGCCCCTGGGCTCGGACCCGAGCAAGCAGGAGCAATCATAAAACGCCTCTTGGCTCTGGACAGTGTTCAAAGTCGCTCCGGGTTTTATTCTCAGAAGTACAGCTGATTTCAGCTTTGGCCATTTAGATCCTGAAGCAGCAGAGGACGTGTCCTTTTTTCACTTGAAGCCCTTAGAACCTTCACCTGAAGCTTCCCAAACTCAACGAGCACGTTGAAAGAAGATCCAGGGTGTTTTATTCACAAGCTAGGACGCTGCGTGTGGGTCTTGCACCCTCCCCTCCCCCGGTCTCCTCGGACGGGGCCCAGTGGCAGCCAGAATCCAGAAGCAAAGCAGGGGACAGGTGGCTTCCCCCTCCTGCTGCCCTTTTCCCAGGAGAAGCAGCAGTTTCGGAGGTGGGGACAGGTGTCTGCGTGTGTGTTCGGAGGGCGGCGAAGGCACGCTAGGATGGCAGACGGCTTTAGAGTCCCTGCCGTGGTTTCCTCTTCACTCCCTCCGTGAGCTCCTTGAGGGATCTCCTTGCTGTCTTCTCCATCTGAAGGTGGTGCGTGTCCAAAAGCAGGCACAGCCCCTCCACCCCCCAGTGCAGTCACTTCCAGCCTCCTAGGGACGCATTCCTCAACTATGCCACTGTCCGGCCACCTCCCGCCTGGACAACCGCGGCCTTCTGATGGTTTCCACTCCACCCCGCTGTCACCCACTCAGAAGCGGAGACCGTTCGAACGAGAACCAGATCGAGTCGCTCCCCTTTGCCCCATGCCTTGGCGACCTTGCAGCGCCCTCTGTGGTCAGGCCGTGCTCTGTGGCACCGCACTGTTGAGAGAGGGAGCTTGGAATCGCAAGGACGTCGAGTTTGCAGGTGGGTGTGTCAGTTTCCTTTGGCTGCTGTAACAAACTACCACAAACTTGGTGGCTTAAAACAACAGAAATTCATTGCCTCACGGTTCTGGAGGCCAGAAGTCCACAACCAGTCTCACCAGACCTCATGTGATGTCACGCGGAGGAGTCACACTCCCCCTGGGAGCTCCAGGGCAGAATCCGCTCCTTGCCTTTTTTGGCCATCGGGTAGCTGCTGCCATTAGTTGACTCATGGCCACATCACTCTGACCTTGGCCTCCATCCTCACACGGCCTTCTCCCCCGTGTGACTGACCCCTCTGCCCGTCGCGTGCAAGCACATTCGTGATGGCACTCAGGGCCCCCTGGATGGTCCAGGACAGTCTCTCCGTCTCAAGATCCTTAACAGAGGTGCATCTGTGGAAACTTCATCATACAAGGTAACATTCACAGGTCCCGGGGATTGGGACCTGCTGTCTTTGGGGGCCACCATTCAGCCCAGAGCGCAGGGCCAGCGGCCTGCTGCCCGGAGGCTCACACGGAGAAGGGCGTGCTGCTACCCAGCTGCTCCTGGCAGGCTGGGGGTTGGGAATGAGGCAACTGGAGGGGATGCGGGGAGCATCTCGGCTCCACTGGAAAGGACCACCGAGGGGCTGAACGTGCCTGGGAGACACCAGAAAGGGCCCAGTCTCCCCTTGCTACCCCTGTCTGTAGCTGTCCCTGTGGAGGTGACAAGAGCCCATAGGCCTAGCTGCTTCCGTTCAGGGGAGGCAGTGTGATTAGGCCCCAGGGAACAGAGGTCCTTCCCCAGTGGGAACCTGACTGCCACCGTTAATCACTCGTGGGAACTTCACCCTTCACAGCTCACAGGTGGCAGATGGCTGCCAGGGACTGACCCAAAACAGCCTTTCACTTCCTCTCTCTGCTCTGCTTTCTGCTGTGACGAGTCAGTAGGGTCTGTGGCCCCGGATCATCGACAGCGGCATTCTGGGTGTCAACTGTGGACCTAGGGCCTGCAAACACCGCCTTCCCTCGGGAAACACGGCCACGGGAGGGCGCGGTGCTCACTGCAGCCGGAAGATGCTGCCCTGGCCACCTTGGCCTGTGCTCTGGGGGTGACTGGTGTGTAGAGGCTAATTTTGAGGGTATGGGCCTGGGGCTGTGGCATGAGCCATGTCCTGAGAGCTCCCCGAACCCCTGAAATACTGGAGCATTAAGACAGGGTGCTGAGCTCCTTTCCAGCAGCCTCTGGGCCACAGTCACCAAGCTTTGGAGGTGACAGCTGCAGCTGCTGGCTTCTTGGAGCTGCAGCAGCACCCGCAGCACAGAATCTGTAACGAATGTTTTCTTGGAGAATTTAGCAGAGGAGTAGGACGATATGCATTCATTCTAGCGGGAGGGAGGCTCCTCCTCCAGCTTTGGCCGGCCAGCCAGTGGCAGGAGGGACCCCAGGGAGAGACGAAGACACAGGCCTGGTATGTTGGACCAGCCACACTGAAGCTGGTGCTCACTGGAGCAGGAGGCTGCGCCCACCACCCTCCCAGGCAGACCATCCTGAAGCGCACAGTCCCTCATCCAGCTACACTGAATCCAGGGAAGGAAAGAGAGAGGTGTCCATGGAAAAAAATAAAAACATACATATACGTATATAAAATATACACACACATGTACACATATATACATATATATAAATAAAGTAGCTTAACCCTTAACTTTGCCACTAGAAATGTTACCATTTAATTACTCAGAACTCAAAAGCATTTTTGGCTATTTTATTTTTAGTCCTTAGAAATTTGTTTCAAGAAAAAGACACCATGCCATAAGCATCACTGACAAGAAATTATTAACACTTCAATTTTCATTGGAATCTCAGGTACTTCCAGTAAACATTCATTTCAGACTTTGATAAACATTTTCATCCTGTGATCTGTAGCATATTATAAAATGTCTGGCCATCACGTAACAGAACTGGGGTTCTAAGTCCCACACCAGTCCGGAAAGGCACAAATGAATGCCGTTCCCTTTCACGCAGCCACCTCTGAGCAGCACAGTTCTGCTTTTACCCAGAAACATCTTGTCGACTCCTATCTGGGGACACACACTCAATAGGAAGCAGCTGCACGGCCCACGTCTAAGCAAAGCAGCACAGCTCGGCTCTGCTGGCACTGAATTCTCGGCCCCAGGGCTTTTATAAAGTGATCCCTGAAGCCCAGACTCCATCCTGCATCGAGACTTGACCCACGTGTGGGTATTCCAACCAGGCCCCCAGATTTGCGTTTAGTCCCAGGAGAATCCAGACGAGGTGGTCTCGGAGTGCCAACGCTTGCCTGTGTTTATGTCCACACCGCCCGGGGAGCCACAGCGGAGAAAACCCACCCGAGAAGCAGCAGTGGGGTCTCCCTGCTGACAGGCCTGGCTCAGCACGTGCAGCCGCACCTCACCCTGCCCACCTGCTCACGGCGTTGAGCGAGCACTCTGGACTAGGGACAGTCAGGTTCCAGAAGAAATGCTACCCTGGAATTTTGTGGCACCAGTTTAGGCTGCGAGGGAACAGCAGTGGGAAATGCCACGTACTTTAGGCTCCATACGACAGGGAAACTGACTGTCCCTGTACCCTCTGGTATTGGGAGCTGACGCCCGTCCTGGCCCCGACACTGCCGATGTAATGAAGTTCTTTACCAAGTGCTCTATGTCTGTGAACTGAAGAACTACACCCCCTACAAATGCATCCCATCTGCAAAAGGAGTAACAAAAACTCCAATCATCATTACGTTCCTAAGAAAGGGAATGTTCCGAGAAAAATAAAACAGAGGAACCTTTTCTGTTACAAAAGGCAGAGCAGCCTTTGCTGGTACTCTTCGTTACAGTCATCTCCTGGGTGGTGAACTCCGCACAGTGGGCGCAGCTCAGAGTAAGTTCACCCCGTGCTTCAGCAGCTTCTGCTTGGCTTTGCTGGACAGGCTGAAGGCGCCGTCCTGGGGACTAGGGAAGCCGGAGCTCCGTGCCGCGGGGGGCAGTTGTTGGAAGTAGGTTTCCTGGGCGGGGTTGCAGCAGGCGTACACGGCCGTGGAGGCGTTTCTGTCGGGGGAAGAAAGAAGACAACAACCTGGTGGTGCTGGGGAAAATCTGAGACCACCCAGAGAGCTCGGTAAGGCTCTGTCACTGTGGCCCCAGAACACCAAATGTTACGCGCGCAGCTGTCAGGGCACGGGATTCTGTCTACTCGCTGGAGTTTCAGGCTTCCATGCCAATAACCATCTTTCCTTCCTTTCAACTCACTAGACGCTGGGACGGTCCGTGGCCAGACTGTCCACGGTAGCTGCGGCCACAGGGCCTGAAGTTACAGTTCTGCGTAAAGGAACTGCTGAGCGCCTGCTCTGTTGACATGACAGCAGCCATGCAACACGCTTTTCCTGCGGTCTCCGCTTTAGTCCGCTCACAAGCCTCTGTAGCGCTGGCGTGGTCCCATGTGACAGACCCGGAGGCTCAGAGAGGGAGGCGACGCTGCCCTGCCTCTGTGACCGTGCCGTGGCTGCGTCCAAGGAGAGAGTCTAATCCGCTGCCCACACTGCGGGTGGCTGGGCGGGCTGAGGGGAGCGGGGTGATCAGAGTAGGGTGTGAAATGCAGCAGTAGAGGGACGAGGGCACTGGGCGAAGGAGATCCAGCTGGGAGGGACTGACTCCAGAGCCAGGTGACCACCTGACTTCTGGATCCTGCCTGTCTCGAACTAGTGGGCCTCAGTTTCCCCAAATCTAGGAAGACAGGATGGAGTCAGGAACCACTAAGGCTCCCCTCCCCGAGATCTCTGTCCATGTAAGGAGAAGAATGTCACCCTCCCCCAGCTTCTAGACCTCAAGGGGCTTGAAGGGACACCTAGCTTAAGTGTCATCTGCCACCCGCTGGGCCAGCAGGACGAGCTCCTCTCATAGCCATGGGGGCAGCACTGCGGCCAGGTGGTTACGAGCACAGACCTGGAGTCTCATACACACCTGAGTTTTAATCCCAGCCCTACTGCTTCCTTGCTGTGTGCCCTGAGCAAAGTTACTCAACCTTGCTGAGTCCCAGCTTTCTCATCTGAACAACGGATATGACGACAGTATGTACCTTCGTTGAGGTGGTTGTTTTTTAAAAAGAGATTAAGTGAGTAGCAAAATACATACACATTAATATATATAAATTGTTTAGGACATGGTGAGTAGTTAAGAACTGGTAGCTGTTGTTCCTATTACTATTATTATATTAAAATAATCTCTCAGCAAATGCCTCGAGCTACGCATCCCAACACTAAAGCCCTCTCAGCTCCAAGGAAGGGGACACACTGTAGGGCCACAAGGTGGCCGGGAGAGCAGATGCCGACACTTCACTTGTTTCCACCTCCCACGAAACAGACACGTGCGCACACACACCCAACATAGCCAGTCCCCAAACCAGTGACTGTGGATATGAATCACATCTAGGTTGCCAGCCTGGGGCAGCTCTGAACTGAAGCCAGAGAAGACACAGTGATCACAGAAAGATATATTGAACTATTGGCTGGAGGTGGCCCCAGGCAGCAGAAAGACCTGTGTGGCAGGTGACAGCGGATTAGAAGCACCATGATCACCCGCCAAGCTCCCACGCGTGTCTGTGCCCCTCCCACCCAGCCACACTGCCCGTTACAGGGAAACGTGTGCGGAAGGACCATGCACTGAAAATTGCAGACAGATCTGGTTCAGATCCTGGCCCTGCCATGCAGTAAGAAGGTGACCCTGGGACAAGCCGCTTATCCTACTTGTGCTTCAATTTCCTCCTCTGTAAAAATGAGGGTAAAAAATACACTTGACCGGACCGTTGCGAGGACTGAATGGACTAAGACACACACAGCAGGCACCCCCTTTTCCGACCCTCCAACTTGCCTTATTTTCTGTCACCAGTTTCGTTAAGACAAGCAGGTAGAGAGAAAAAAAAACCCAGAGTTTGGTTGGTTAAATACTGTAAACTACAATTATTAATATAATTAGTAGATTTACATCTACTGCCATGGAGGTGTTTAACACGTGCAGTGATGTGAAAAAAGCAACTATAAAATAGTACATTAGTAGGATCCCATTTTCCAGAAGAATGTTAAAATAATGAACATAAAAATACCAGTAATCTATATTTTATATGCAAAAAATAAAAACCAAAACCAATAAAACCTGGAGTAATATATATTAAACTGTTACATGTGGTTATTTCTTGGGTCTGTGACGGCCACGGGCAGTTGCGGGGGGGGAAGAAGATGTTTTACTTTATAGATCTCCAAGCAGGCTGAGTGATTTTATAATCAGCGTGTTTTACTTGTTTTAATTAGAGAGACGACAATATTATTTCGACACCGTTTCTGGCAGGGGGAGAGAGCCTCCTTCCTCAGAGATGAAAGTAGCAAGGACTCTGAGGTTTCTTCACTGTTGGACCCCGAGTGTCTAAAGCAGGAAGGGACCCAGGCACCCGTGACCCATGAATGCCTGAGAGTGGACGGTGGCAGCAACAGGAGCAGACAAAGGCGGGCCTTAAACAGAGTAACTAGCACGTTTTCCATCGAGTTAGGAAGGCTGGGCCCCGGGAAGGCGGTTCCTATGAGTGGGACCGTCTGCGCGAGTGACGCGGCAAGGCTCACCTGACGGTCATTTCGTACAGCGAGGGCAGCCGGGCGAACTCCGAGTGCATCAGGCTGACGGCCTGGAGGAAGCGGCGGTCCTGCAGGGTGGCTGCCTGCGGCAGGTTGGCTTCCAGAAGAGGACACAGAAGTTGTGAAGAGCAAACCGCTCCCCTCCCAGCTCCCCAAGCTCAGAACTGAACCCCGGGACTGCGCGCGGCTCGAGGCCACAAGTGTGGGTCCCCAGGGCCGAGCAACCAAGGCTGCTGCCGCCATGCACGAGCAGCACTCGGTTTCTGCACGTGGATCTCAACGTTCTGAGGCAGACCTTATCACAGACAGTTGAACGTGTGTAAGTTTGCTCTCGAAATGTTGAGAAAATGCCAAAAAAAGACAAGTGAGCAAAGAAGCATTTGCCAAGTGAATTCTCCCCTCAGTGGGAGCATTAACCGCAGGTCTGATGACTGCAGAGCCACGTCACCATGGTGCTGGGGCCTCAGGGCCTCGGTGCCCCCTCCACTTGTCTCTAGAACCTTCCCGCCTCTGTGCCCCAGTCTGCTCCTTACCCATCAGCACGCTCTGAATGCGGTCGTAATGCGTGAAGTTGTAGGTGCTGCTCGTGGCGGCAGCCTCATCTCTGGGGAGCGTCTCTTTCAGGTGGACTTCCAGCCCGTTCAGGGACGCCAGGCTGCTGTGGTACTGCAAAGGGGCCAGGAGAGGGTCATGGGCTTGCAGGAACCTCAGCAGGCCTTCTGAGGGCTTTCTGTATGACCGTGCCCTTGGTTAAAATATAATCATCCCAAAATATCTTGGTGCCTACTTGCTTTAGCAAAATAGACTCTGACCAGCCTATTTGCCTGTTTTTAGAGAAGTGCTAACTTCCACCCTTATGCTTTATTGTTTTTTAAATTAAGAATTATATTGTAGGAAAATTTAAAAATAGAGATGAGCAAAAAATAAATTTTTAAAAGAAGAGAAAAGCAAAGGAAAATCACCCGTCTAACCATCCAGTAACAGCCACTGTTACCGCCCTGGCGTATCTCCTAACCACGCTCTCCCACCCAGGCTGCACGTTTTAACAACGGTCTGGGACCACCTGCTAGTGCTTCTCCACCGGGCCTGGGTGGAGAAGTCCCCCATGGATGTAATGGGTTGACTTCTCTCCCGTGCATCTAGAATGGTCTGGCCGTGCACCGTTCTTGGAAGGACGGAGAAGTGTCAGTCAGTTTTCTGTGCTCAGTGGTTCAGAGGAGGAATCTAGGTGAGGAAGCTGCCAGGGATGCAAGGCCCAAGCATCTGTATGTTTAAAAACCTCCCAGAAGAGGAGTAATGCATAAGTATAGTTGAAAACACTGGACTATACTGTTCTGTTGTAATCCTTTTTTTATAAAATAAAAATGAGATCGAACCATAAAAAATGAGTTACAGCTGTTTTTTAATCTAATGATGTAGCATGAACTACTTTTCTTGTCCATAAATATTCTACATCATTCTTTAACAGGGGTGAGCGCTGTTCTCCAAGCTCCACTTAGGGTTAAGTACACCAGTCCCATCCTGACAGGCTCGGTCTGCAACAGGGTCTCCTGGGCCTGCTTCAGCCACAAGAAGGCCACTGCTCTGGAGCATCAGACGGCTCCCAGGTGGCCATCTCCAGGGCTCAGCCTCTTCCTAGCCAAATGACTGGGGACAAGTAACTGAATTTCCTGTGCCTCTTTTTTTCCATCTGCAAATGGGAATACTACAGGACTCTTGAGGAAATTGAAGTGAAATAACATATACAAAAGCTCTTTGTAAACTCTAAATGCCACCCTAAGGCAGGGCATTTTTGTACAGAGTCAAGAAAATGAAAATGATCATTATTAAAGAAGGAGAGATGTTCATAATGTTAGGTTCATAAAATAAAAATTAAGAAAATTTCAAAAAGAAGTGGTGTCTCTTTAATGAGCACAGAAAAGGGTCTGTGGACTATTTTTCAACAGCCATGTAGGAAAGGTAAGTACACATAAAAAGCACAGAAATGCAAACGGTGCTTCAGAAGTGAATGGCATCAGCCTAAGCGTTATCTGTGATAGTAAATTGGGGTTATATTAGCTTTCCTACTTGAATGTCTGGTAACTGTCATTCCTCCCATCTCGAGCTGGTGCCCAGAGGAAGGGACGATGGGAACAGAGGGAGCCATGCTGAAATGTATTTCTCCTGTAGGCACTGAGCTCCACGTCCAACACCTTCTGCCTAACTTGTAGTCAAGATAAAATCACTTAACCACGAACACACAGTTAATCACAAGCTGTTATGTCCCATGACACCCAGGCAAGTTTTTACTGATAACCAAGTGCTTTCATATATACCAGGGGTCAGCAAACTATGGCCCATTGGCTAAATCCAACTTGCTGCCTGTTTTTGTACGGCCTGCGAGCTCAGAATGGTTTTTATGTTTTTACAATGATTGGGGGAAAAAGTCAAAAGAATAATACTGTGACATGTGAAAATTACCTGAAGTTCCGATGTCTACATCTAATAAATAAAGTACTATTGGAATACAACCAAGCCATTTATTGACATATTGTCTATGGCTGTTTTCCTACTACAACAGCAGAGTTGAAGAGTTGTGCAAAGTTGAAAATATTTGCTTCTGGTCCTTTGCATAAAAAAGTTTGCCAACTCCTGATATATACTATTAATACTATATAATGTGATCCTTCAAACAGCCGTAGGAGACACAGAGCAGGGGCTACTGCCTGGATGCTCTGACTGTTAGACCACACTAAGGCAAAGGGCTTGAACGTCAGCACATACGCCAACATGCAGAAGACGCAATGCATGGAACACACATTCAACTTAGAGGCTCCAGTTTCCTAGTTGCGGGGGAGGTGCTTTACGGCAACACGTTCACACTAACTTCAAGCCTCATCTACTGCACACAGACGGCTCAATGCCTTACTGTAGCGAAGAATAATTGATCTCATCACTTGTATTTGAAGGTCAGTGAGATTATCTTGGGTTTTGAGAAGGAAACCATCAGTGGCTCTATGCTGCCCCCTGGTGTACGCCTGCTCTGCTCCCTCTGAACCAATCCGAACCCAGCCCTCCCGGCTGGTCCACTCCACACCCGGCTCCCTGCACCCACCCCACCTCCTGCTCCCTCCTCCGTGGAAGTTGATCCTCTGAAAGACAAGGTGGCAAAATGACACAAGGGTGCCTTGGCAGTATGCAGCATAATCAAGGGGGTGTGCTCATTGTCTAAGCTGCACTGTCGCTGAACGTGGGGCGGTGGCGGGTGGTGGGGGGCTTTTCTAGACAGCAGCAGAGGGGCTGCAGGGAAATCAGGTCAGGTATTTTCCACGCTGGTCCAGGACAAAAAGCTAACAAAAGATCTCTCCCAATTATAAAACATACAGCCTTTGGGTCCACTTAACAAACCCACTCTTAAACCAGATGCGGATCAAAGTCGGTTATCTCCTACTGTCTTCAGAAAAGACTAGCTTTTCTTCTCCCATAAAACTGCATTCTGGCTGGGCACGGTGGCCCAAGCCTGGAACCCCAGCGCTTTTGGAGGCCAAGGTGGGAGGATTACTGGAGACCAGGAGTTCGAGAAGAGCCTGAGCAACATAGCAAGGTCTTGTCTCTACAAAAATAAAAAAAATAAAAATTAGCTGGGTGTGGTGGTGCACACCCATAGTCCCAGCTACCTGGGAGGCCAAGGCAGGAGGATGGCTTGCGATCAGGAGTTCAAGGCTGCAGTGAGCTGTGATCATGCCACTGCACTCCGTCCTGGGTGATGGAGTGAAAAGAAGGGAGGGAGGGAGGAAGGAAGGAAGAAAGGATGGATCCTGGGGCCTAGCCATCACCAAAACCCTACTTTACATTAAGCCCATGGAGGCTGTCGTCATAACAACATGGATGGGCTTTGACAAACCAAGAGCTATGTCCACAGATCAAGAGCCACAGAAGGCAGGACATTTACCTCCTTGCTTCACCTTCTCACCTACCACAGCAAGGACAGAACAGTGGAGGGAGGGACAGAGAGCTGGGGTGGGCGAACAAGAAACAAGCAAGAATTCTGGACCCATCCAGTCGCATAAGGTCTTTTTATCTCAACGAGGCTGTTTTCTTACTGGTAAAATGGGAGTTACAATGCCTACCTCCCAGAACTGTGCTAAGGCTTGGCTAAAATAACAGAAAGTATTTAGCATATAGTTAGTGCAGAACACATCTCCTCAAAGAGCAGCCTGTGCTATTTTTTCCTCTTGGGGGGAAGGTAAAAAGAAAGGTATTAAATCCACTTTACTGCATCTAAACACTGAGCCTTCACAATAACACTTCTAAGGCTTGGCACTGTGCAGACAGACCATGAAAACCAAGGCATCGTCAGGGAGATGAGATGTGCAAAGCTGCAACCACAACTCCCTAGGTTGCTATCAGAAGAAGGTGGATAAAGTCACTCACGGCTACGGTAAAAGGGGACACAGGAAGCAGACAAGCCACAGCTCAGTGACGTGGGGTCTGTGGAAAGGGGACAGACAGCCAGGCAGCTCTGGAGAGGAGCCCCAGTCTCTTGCTAGGGGCTCTGCGCAGAGGAAGCAGCTCGGCAGTCTTCCCTCCTCCTCTGTGTTCCAAGGTGACTTGCTCATTTATGGAGGGTCACGAGCCCTGCATGCTAATGAGATCAGCTTAGAATAATATAGATACAAGAATAAAAACAAGGTAAGCCCCAGGACACCATGTGCCCTGCAGCAATTTCAACCTGCTCTTCTTATGCTACCACTTGCCCTGCCTACTAAGGCAAGGCTGTTGCCGTAGCAACCGAATCTCCAGCGCAGGCCTGGGCCCCGGGAGGGTCAGTTACTGCTCTAAGCAGGGAAGGGGCTGAAATGGTTTAACAGCCTTCCAGAGCCAATTAGGATGTCAGATGGCCCAGACCTTGTAGGAAGGAGCTTGAGATCAGGAACAATGCTGGGGTACAGAGGGAAACCCGGGGTTTCTGGGGAACTCCCGGCCCAGGCTGTGACACGCTGCAGAGTACAGTTTCCAGCCCACGTGGAACCCAGAGCTGCCCAGGCTAGGAAACGAGGCCACTGGCAGGAGCAGCACACAATGGCCACGCGTGCGGGCTTTTTCTGAGTTATCTCACTGCATCTGGAACACGAGGGCCTGGCAGCACCGCTGGACGACTGACGAGGAATCAGAGGCCCAGAGGGACAAGGGCTTGTGGGCAAGACCACACAGCTAGAGAATGACAGCTAGGATTCCAGCTCAGGCCCTCCCTCCCTCCAAGGCCTGCACTTTGAGACACCGACATTTGTTGGGCGCCCGCACACCAGCCACCGTGCTTGCACCCGACTCACTCTCACTCGCCCACACAGAAGCCCATGGGGGTAGGCACAACCATCGCCCCTGCTGTACAAACAAGGAAATTTTGCCCAGGGTCACACAGCTGAAGACAGAGCCTCTGTCCCTGCCCCGTGTGTTGGTGCAGAGCGGTGGGGGAAGCACGGGAGGTCGGGAGAGGCTGCAGAAAAGCACAGAGGGTCTGAGGACACTCACCACCTCCTCTGTGGCTGCGCCGTCTCCCAGCAGTGGCTCCTCAGCCAGCAGGGACAGCACCAGCCCTTTAACACTGTGAGTGTAGAGGTTCATCCGCACGAGTCCACTGCGGGTCCCTGCCGGGGTCATCCTGGAGTCGATTCTGTCTGCAGAGGGGCCTGCACCCGGGCAGTGTGCCAAGCCTGAACTGCTCTCGGGACCAGCGGCTGAGTGGCTCTCACGGGCCCCATCAACACACTGATCCACGCCTTGTTCTCCCACGGGAAGCTCACTCCCTCCCTGCCCCGGATCTAAGTGAGGCAGTGACAAAGGCCTATTGGTCCTTCTGCGGAGGAGGTCTCCTTTGGGAACAGGGGCTTGGCTGCTGTTGCCAGGAAGGTCTTCACACAGCTCTGGGGCTCCGTTCTGGGTTGGCATCTCAGGAACGGAGGGAGAGAGCGGGCTGCTTGCAGCGGTGTCCTCTGGAGGTGAGGGTTCTGGGCTGCTTGTGCCACTGACAGAGTCCCTGTGGCAAGGACCACTGCCATCTGGGACACACGCACATGGGAAAGCAAAATGACCCGAGGATGTCCTCACTTCCTGAGCTTCTGGAATGTGGATTTCAGACAAGTCCAGTTCCGCTTGGGGAAAGCCCAGTTCCTTCACCAGGGAGCAGCTGTTGTACAGTCCTGTGTGCCCAACGCTGTCCAGATCGTGACCAGACAACTGTCCGTTCTCCCTCTTGCCACCTGGCCAAGCTTCATCAGGGGGTGTGGGCTCTGGGGTGGTTGCCGACATCCCGGCCATGGATGCCACATGCCTGGTGGCGTTTTCTTTCAGGGCAACTGTGCTCCCACCCTTTGGAGCGTGCTGGGCTGAGCCGTCCTGGACTCCGGCTGGAGATGCAGGAGAGCTAGTGAACAAGACAGACATGAGGAAGGGGCACAGAGACTGAGCGCAGGGCACGTGCCCTTCCACGCAGCGACGACAGCACGTTCCCTGAGGCCACAGAGGCTGAGATGCCACCTGGGTCAAATCACAGGAGTAGCAATGAGGCAATGTCTGGCCCTTGGAGTTTCACGTGGAGACACCAAGATCACCTACTGAAAATGGCAGAGCCCACTTGGAAGGTCTACTGTGAGTCAGGCCCCATCCCGGATGCTATACATAGACTATTTTCAATGAGTTCCCAATGAACTCATGAGGCAGATATTACCGAGTCCATTTTACAGATAAAAAAAATTGAGGCTCGGGCAGGGAATGGACTTGCCTAAGGCCACATAGCTGATAACTAAGAGATCTAGGATGTGAAACCCACTCTCATCCCACTATGCCACGCTGCCTCTTATCAACGTACTCAAGTTCCAGGTGCTCTCTTACAAGACAGGGCGCGGGGGAGATGGAATTAAGGAAGGATGAGATGTACCCGAGGTTTGTTTCAATGAACCACGTGGGGGAGTCCCTCAGCTGTGGTTTAAGGTTGGCCCCGTGAGTCCCCTTACCTAGTCATCCGTCCCGCTGGAAACTCGCGGAGACTGGTGGACTCCTCTTCGGTCACGAACACAGGGATGATCTGCACGTTCGGGGGCAACGCTGCTCCTGGAATTGCAAAGCAGCATGGATAGGGCTCTCCCCTGGGCCAGGGAAGACACAGGGGCAGTAACTGCTCTTGGGGTGACGTATCCAAGCCCCACACCAGCTCAGCACAAGCCACAAAACTGCGGCTCTAACTCCTGTGACCAGCAAGGAAGGAGCCCCTGCAGGCCACACAGGGAGATGTTTGGGGAAGAAAGTTTAGTGACACTTAAAAAACAAAAAGAAAAAGGTAGGAAAAAGCACTTCCAACTGATAAAGGGATCTGCCCCACTTAGGCTTCAAAATAAAACGAAATAACTCCCCTGGGGACACCGCCGCATCCCGCGACAGGCCCTCCTGGCAGTTGCGACCCTCTCCCGGTCACCACCCCCTGCACGTGTCTGAACAATCTCACAATACGGATCAAGGAGGATCTGAAAGCAGGGATTTGAAAGGTGTGTCTAAAATCACAAGCTTTACAGTTAGGGTTCTGGTGGGTAACTCTGTCCTAGAAGCTCTATTACATCCATTTTCCTAATCCTATGAGCAGAGGAAATAAACAAACGGGATTGCTCGGGCTTCCACGCGACTTGCGCAGGGATAGGTAGCATCAGAGACTGCCATTCTCAAGATGCGACGGCGCACCTCGCCACTCACCATGTTCCCGCGGGGCGTCCCCTCCTGGAGGCAGTCTCTGAAAACAAACACACACAGAAGTTGGCGCTGGGCACCACGTTCTCCTCTTGACCTAACCATCAGGAATTCACTGTGCCATCTGTTCATAAAACTTTGCCAGGTCCAGAAAGCTTGTCCCAACCGCATGCTAAAAGCCAAGCAGATGGAACAGAAGCTCCCCCAAGCTGCTTGTTCCCACCATGGCTGGGACGAGGCAGGGACCTGGGCCCACACGGGCTGCAAAGCAGCAGCTCCACCCAAACCCATGTCATGCTTTCTGTTCGGATTTTCTCAGCCTCTCCCCTCTGGGATTAAAAGCAAGAATCCATGTTCTTTTTTATACATTTGGGGAGCCCACATTCTAGAATACAGCCACATCTGCCACAAGCCCTGATACAGAATTCACATGAATTCCATTATAACAAAACCTGAAAATCCTGCAACCCTCTCTACAAAGGATTTGACCTAAACAGAATGCTACGCCAGATCTTTCTAGTTTATTCTGGTTTACACTCAAGGCCAGAAAGCTGGGGATTTTCTCAACGGCAAAAACAAAATCTTTCATCTCGACCTGAAGGTTCCAAAAGGACCCAGCAAAACAAAGCGAAAACCAAACAAAACCTCTCCGAGCCAAAATGACTTTCACTCTTAAGAAATGATACGGCTTGCTTTCTTTTTTGGTGATTTTTAAAAATCATGTTACAGGTTACTAAGCCATACATAAGCTTACTCGAGACAAAAATTCCTTAAAAAAAATAAATACATATAATCTCCCAAGCCCAGGCTAATACTGTTAGTTCTGGGCATTGTTTTCTTTAAGTCTATGCATTCCTTTATACTTCTGAGACATTATATAGAATTCTGTTTTTATGCTTAAACTAATAACAGGCAAGTCCTGTCAGCAAAACATCTTTGGCTATTTTAAGTGGCGAACTACAATTTTATGAATGTTAAAGTGGTATGGGTAAATGAATCATTCCCCTACCTCAGACCAGTGATTAGCAGACCTTCTCTATCAAGGACAAAATGATAAATATTTTCGGCTTTGTGAGCCATTAGGCCTCTAGCTCCAACTATGCAATTCTGTTGCTGCATTTCGAAAGTAGCCCAATAAAATTTTATTTGTAGCAGATGGCCCAGGGCCACAGTTTGCCAACTCCCACCTTAGACATTTTAGTTTCGCCTGATTTTTCACTTTCATAAAGCCTGTTGTGATAAAGTTTTGAGTATAAACCTTTTTCAGCAATTAAATTATTTCTTTAGTATAGATTCCTGGAAACTGATTTATTACGGAAAAAATAAAGAGCATCCTTAATGCTCTCGTTATCAAATTGTTTACCAGAAAGGCTGTTAGAATTGAGACCTCTACCAACAGTGGGAGCCTGAGCAGAGCCCACCAGCACTGAAAACATCTGCTGATTTAATAAGCATAAAAAAAAGAGCCTTATGACACACTGGAAACCATAGCTTCATACACAAAACAAAAGAAAAAAAGGACTGGCAGGAAATATGACAGATGCTAGCAGTGTTTATCTCTACCCAGTTTTATTCTCAATGAGTATGAATGACTTTTTTCATTAAAAAAGCAATTAAATAAACAAAAATGGAAGTATTTTTTAAAAGTTTCTGTTTTCCTAAGTCTTACTAAAGATACATCTGTCTCTGAAAAATCTAGTATCTCTTTGACACCAAGCTGTCCCTGTAGGAAGGCAAATTCTCGTCGATCCACTTGGTTTGAAGAAAAACCAGCTATCCACGCCTACCAGGCTGCAGCAAACATCTTTTCTGCCTCCCTAGTGGCTTTACTCTCGAGAAAACCACACACTGAAAGACGTGGGGTCCTGACACAAGATGAAGTGGCACAATGGCCCCATGGCTGCCGCTCCCGACCGTTCCCGCCTGGGGGTCAGTCTGGGCTGCAGCGGCAGGAGCTTTGGGGACGCGTCCCAGCCAGGCGAGTGGGCTTTACAATACCTGGGTCCGAGGTGCAGTTCGGTGAAGCAGGACCTTGGCAGTGAGGGAGGGCGGCAGCTGGGTGCTGACAATCCTAGGAGGTCACACACAGGAGCAAGAACACCGTGAGAAGAAATAACACTGAAGGACGCCTGACAGCCCGTGTTAACGGGAATCTCTACAACACGGCTGGTGGGAGTTTCAACTGGTCAAACCCTGACGGAAAGCACTCTGGCAGTTCCCACCAACATTTGTTGATAAAATGTCCAGACCCTTTGACTCAGCTTGTACCAAGATGTACGCAAGAGAATATTTATTATAGGAAAAACAGTAAAGACTTTAAAAGATGGGTAAACAATCGAAATGTCCATCAACAAGAGAGTAGTTAAATAAATCGTGGCACAGCCAGAACACCAAAAAGTGTGCAGCCTTCCTAAGAATGGGTGGGCCTGGCTCACGCCTGTAATCCTAGCTCTCTGGGAGGCCGAGGCGGGCGGATTGTTTGAGCTCAGGAGTTCGAAACCAGCCTGAGCGAGACCCCGTCTCTACTAAAATTAGAAAGAAATTAATTGGATAATTAAAAAATATATAGAAAAAATTCGGGAGGCTGAGGCAGGAGGATCGCTTGAGCCCAGGAGTTTGAGGTTGCTGTGAGCTAGGCTGACGCCACGGCACTCTAGCCCGGGCAACACAGTGAGGCTCTGTCTCAAAAAAAAAAAAGAACGGGTGGGCCGATATGGACTGGTAAAGAAATCCCTACTATACGAATTAAGTCAAAGAGCTACATGATCCTATTCACGTAGACAGTAAAAATAGACAAAATAATATATGTGCGTATACACCGGTGGGTAAAAACACACAGCGCAACGGAAGGAGGAAGGAAGCTCACCCAATCACCCAACTGCTCATGGCAAGAACGGGCTCAGAGCGAGGAAGAGAGAAGGGGGCTTTTAAATTATGCTCTGTGTTTCCCTGTTAGTTGATTTTTTTTACATTGAGAATGTGTTCATGTATTGGCTGTATAATTTAAATATATAGATAAGAAATGTAAAATAAGAAAAGTGATGGCTATGTCTCCAGAGAGCCTGCAAGGCCCACAGCTGGTTCAGAACCACCACGATGAGAACGGCGGGGAGGGACAAGGGTGAGCCGCACACCAGGGACTTCGCTCGCTCCTTCCACACCCATCACCTCATGTCATTTGCCACAGGGAATCGCTGTTTCCCAGAAGAGAAAATCGAAAGTAAGCAACTTGCCCAAGGCCACACGGCTGGCAAGAAGACAATACGGGGTTTGAAGTCCCGCTGGTCAGGCCCGAGAGCTTCTCCAGCAGTACAGTCGTCTGGTCAGCAGGAGGCTCTGGGCACAGCACTACGGCCCTGTCTGCCCTGCGCTGTGAGAGCAAACCCACCGTGAGGAGAGAGGCTTGGAAGACGTGGGGAGTGCTCTCAGGCACTCGGGCTCATGGAGAGGCCCTCCAACTACACGAAGAGGTGCAGTGAGCTCTCAGAAGTCGACCAAGACACGGACGCAGCCAAGAGGCTGGCAGGAGCCTGTGTAAAAGCCCTTGACGCTGCTTTGCAGAGCTGAGCCACAGCAGGCATGGCAGGGCCCTGGGCAGCGGGAGGAAGGCCACCGCAGGTCCCTTACATACCCCTTGACTTACAGCGCTGGCTGCTGGCAACGTTGGGGCTTTGCGCTAGCATTTTGTAGACTGACAACTCTGACAGCATGCCTCATGCGGAGAATTACACGCATCCCTTTTATATTTCTAACCCTTTTCCAAACGCAACGATTTCCAACTTCCCAGCTTTGCTTAAAGACAGGCTCATACCCTAAATCCAATTGGAACTACCCAATATCTGCCACTTGGAACTGGCCCAAGATTGAGCTCCCCGCCATGATCTGAAAGCAGCTGGTGGTCAGCTCTGCAGCAGGGGGACGGGGCTGGAGCAGAGGGGTCCGGTGTTACTCACAGTCCTTTATAGAGGATGCAGCCAGCGAGGACGTGAGGCGAGCGCTGGCAGGTCTGCAGAATGAGGGCTGCCTTCAGCAACAACAGGGGCTCCACCTGTGCAGGGCGAGAGGCAGCCCACCCATCAGCACACGCACGGTCAGCAAGGGAGAAGGGGGAGGAGCGTTTGGTAGAACAGATGGACAGGCTGGAGCTCAAAGCCTAGGAAAGGGAGAATGTGCCTCACAGTAAAATCTGTGTCATGCTTTGGGTCTATTCTACCAGTCTCCACACCCAGAACTGCTGACACCACAAATGCCAAATTCTCAGAACAAGGAAGCTTCTCCAGAAGCTGGAAGGTGCAGCGAATATGGCCTGTGGCTATTCACAGGGGACAAAGTAGACAGCCTAAGAGACCCTGTCAATGCTTAGACAAGAGGCAATAAAGAGAGAGGACACCCTTTAAATGCAGGTATACAGGTCATGCACCAGGTGAAACCCACCGGCCCCACCCTCCACCCCCACTCTGAAGCACAATCCCCATGGCAACACAGCTGCCTGGACATCTGACCAGGTCCCGTTGTTCTATTCCATAACACAGAATGAAAACATCGTGGTCTCATACTCAAGAAAATATGCCTCAGGTCCACATTCCTTGTAAGGAGTCAGTTGCCTAGAAGTCCCTAAAAATATAAAAACGTCTGGCCTTGGTCAACAATGGCCAGCAATAATCAGCAGCCTCTTCCTATTTCTACCTGCCTGCTTGGCAGCTAGAACCTGCGAGGACCCATTAGCTGTTGGAACTCAGTGTTAACAGAGCCAGGCTCTGGAGCTCCTAGCACACGAAAAAGTTGAGTTTACTCTTTCCTAAGTCTCAAGACTTCCAGACAGCCATTCTCTAAAGCTTTGGGGCCAATTCCAAAAAGTCTTCCAAATGGTACAGGGAAAACCCTTCCCCATTTCTAGTGGAGTCATCCTCTGTGTAGGCTGAGTCACAGTGCCACACCCATTAAAGGGACACTATTTACTCCAGCACTGAGATGCTAGATGCTCAGGGCTCTGGTAGTTGGTTCTTAAGGGGCCAGCCACACAAACAGCCTAGGTTTCACTGAGTGCCAGCAGCAAACAATGGCTCAGAGAGATAAAACACTTCCCAACCACTCTCTCTCAGGGACAGTAACCTTGGCCTTCAAATGTTCATGCTGGGCCTTTTTGATATTGAAAACAATTTAATCATATGATACTAATATCAAGACAGAAGGGGATCTTCAGATTACTGAGTTCAACACTTCTGAGGCATCGGTAAAATAATAATTACCTTTCTCGAGTATTTATTTGGTGTCATTTTAAGTACTGCCTCATTGTATCATCCCTACAGTTCTAGAAGGCAGGTATGATGACACCATTTTATGGATAAGGGAAGTGAGGCTCTAAGAGGCGATCTGCCTGGTCCAAGCTTGCACAGCTAGTGAGCAGAGAACGCAAGCTGAATGCCAGGCTTAACGACGACCCTGCCCGAGGAATGGTACAGTCTATCCACTGCCCCAGATATAGTTCATTTAAGGAATATTTAAGAAGCATCCAGAAGCTCTGTTCTTATATATGAAATGAATAAGGAGGATGAGAATGTTACTTTGGTTTGGTCCAAGTTCCAGAGGGAATTGAATATCTTATGCAGATCACTGGTGTTTTTCAGAATTTGTTCAATGAAGGTATCCCACTCTGTGCTCAGTTCTTCCCGAGAGCGGTTCTAGAACAGAAAGAGCCTGAGGTCAATGTTTGAGATTTTGAGGGGCAGATTCTTTGGCAAGAATCCCAACTACTACGAAAACTGTTCCTCGCATAGGAAACTGGCTAGAAGGGAGGGCCAGTTTTGACCTTCCTCCACGTGGGAACCCCCCGCCCTCCCACTCTGATGACCCACCCGTCATAGATCCAGGGCACCAGCTAGGTAAGGGTGGCAAGCAGGGCCTGGTCTTTCCAACCATCCCAGGCAAGAGGAGAGGGGACAGACACCTGGAACGACTGTGACCTATGGCGCTGGGCATGAAGGCAGCTGAGAGGGGCTCCAAGGGCCCTTGACCTTACCACTGGACATGACGTGTTTGTGTCTAACAGACCCAGAGTAAGTGCTGTGTGCTGGCAGTAAGAGGCTGGACATTATATTTAATACTAATACCTTATAAGCCAGAGAAACAGGTCCATTGTAAAAATTGAAGAACCCAATTAGCTGATCCAGAAACCGCTTGCAGCTGGCATCAGGGAGCTCCACAGCACAGCCCAGCACCTGCCAAGAGGGAACCCAGGAAGACAGGCCTTTGCCTTTTCTGCGAGTCCAAGCCCAGAATCCTGGCATCCAGGGCTCTCTATTATCAGACCTCACTGACCCGTTAAAATTGATCTTCTCCTGCCCCTGGGCCCACACCCTCCATTCCGGGCAAGCTGGTCTCCATGGAGGACAAGTACTTTCTGTACCTCTGTTCATGCTGTCCAACCCGAAATGCGCTCTTTCTTCCTGTTCACTTGCCCAGGGCTGACCCATACCCTCCAGTCCCCACCACAGATTCCAGCACCTCCACGATACCTGTTCTGGTGACACCAGCCAATGCTGACCTCTTTTCTGACCCTCGTACTATTAGGACTATTATTTGGACATTGTACATTTAATCTGGGTTTCATTACAAACACTGGACAGGACTCGAACTGTTGCACAAATGGGCGTCTTGCCTCTCCAGCTGGATGGAGTGCTTTGAGAGCAGAAACTGCCTGCATCGTCGCCGTCCTAGACCACAAAATGCTGACTGCGGTGCTGAGTTAGAAAGTAATCCAGTCATATGTTTAAAGAGCCTGAAAAACTTCATATTCTTTGACCCAGTAATTCTACCTCTAGGAATCTGGCCTAAGGGAATTATCAGAAATTTAAACTAATAAACCCAGACAGGAAACAAATGAACAACAACAAAAAATTCCCTCTGAATGTTAGCCGGCAGTCCCTAATCTTTTTGGCACCAGGGACCAGTTTTATGGAAGACAATTTGTCCACGGACGGGAATGGGGGTTGGGGGGCAGAGCTCAGGAGGTGACGCGAGGGATGGGGAGTGGCTGTAAATACAGATGAAGCTTCAATCACTTGCCCACCGCTTACCTCCTGCTGTGTGCCGTCCCACCCCCCCCACCTCCTGTTCCTAAGTTTCAAGGGGGGTGGCCGTGGAGCTCCAAGGCCCAGGGGTTGGGGACCACAGATGTAAGCAAGGATCTTTGTTTGGTTCACAGATATAATCCCAGAGTCTGGCACACAGGAAGTGCTTACTTCTTCCCCAAGTAATCTACAGAAAGAATGCAATTCCGATCATTATCCCACCAGCTTTTCCTCAGAAACTGACAGATTCTACAAAGGAAATACAAAGGATTTAAAATATCCAAAGCTATCTTGAAAAAGAATAAGGTTGGAGAATTTATACTACCTGGTTTCGATACATATTATAAAGCTATAGAAATTGGTACTCATGTAGAAGCTTCAAACAGATCAGCTGAAAAGACTAAAGAGCCCAGAAATAGACCCACACTTAAATGGTCACCTATCTGATCTTTGGCAAAGGAGCCAAAGGAATCAGTAGGAAAAGGAAAGCTTTTCCAACAGTGAGGCTAGAACAACTAGATACCCAGACTGGAAAAAACGACCCTTGACTTCTATTCACGCCATTCACAAATATTAATCCAAGACAGATTACAGACCTAAATTTAAAAGGCAAAACTACAAAACTCTTACAAAAAAAATGGAGACTACCTTCTCCAATGCAGTAGGCAGTGGTTTCTTAGACAGGATCCAGAAGGCAGTAACCATAAAAGATAAAATTGAAAAATTAGATGTCATTAAAATTAAAAACGTCTGGTCATCAAAAGACATCATTAAGAAAATTAATAGACATGCCAAAAACTGGAAGAAAATATTTTAAAAATATATATCTGGCAAAGAACTGGTATCTAGGACATAATAAAGAACTACAACTCAACAGAAAAAGGGAACTCAACTTAAAAAATGGGCCAAGCTTTGAACGGACACTTGACAAAAGAAAATACACAAATGGCCATTAAACACATGAAAAGGCCTCAATATAATTGGGAAATGCAAATTAAAACCACAATGACACACCCCTACACATCCATCAGACTGGCTAAAATTAAACAGATGGACAACATCAATGTTGATGAGGATGTAGAATAACTGGGAATGTAAAATGCTACAACCACTTCAGTAAAAGGTCTAGCAGTTTCCTATAAAATCCAAAATATACCCACTCTATGACCCAGCAATTTCATGCCAGGAGAACTGAAAATATATGTCCACAAAAAGACTCGTATAGGAATGTTCCTTGGAGCCTTATTCTTAATGCACCAAAGTGGACACAGTTCAGGTGTCCATCAAAAGGAGAATGAATAGACTTGTGATATACGTAGACAATGGAATATTGTTTGATAATAAAAAGGAATGAATACCAAGACATGCAACAACATGAATGAATGTCACAAACGTTAAGTGGTAAGACAGAAGCCTGTAAGGCGTGTACTTTAACATGTATTATTTCACTCATGGGATGTTCTAGAATAGGCAAAACTAATCTTTGGCAGGAAAAAATTAAGAACAATAATTGCCTAGGATGGTGGTGGGGTAGAAATAACTGCGGAAGGATGTGAGGGAGCTTTGTGCGCCAATAATAATATTCTGCATCTTGACAGGGATCGATGTTGTCTAGGTGTATCATTTCTCCAAATGCATCAAACGGCACACTCAAGGTCTGTATATTTCACTATATGTAAATTTACCTCCAAAGAGAAAAAGAACCACAAACCAACAGTGAACCCCAGTTAGTAACATGCATGATGAAGTATTTGGGGGTGGGGGAGGAGCACGCTAATGTGTGCAACTCTAAAAAGCATCGAAAAATCTGGACTGATGAGAGGATAAAGGGATGGATAAATAAATACATGATAAAGCAATTATAATAAAATGTTAATTGAAGAACTAAGGAGGTATATGAGTATTTGCTGTAAAATTCTTTCAACCGTACGTTCAAAGTGTGTTAGAAAATTTTTGTAATAAATGTTGGAAATAATACCTACAAAGTTGAATATACCACCCCACATTTAAGCATCATTTCACCTCAGAAAGCCTTAAAATAAACACAGGCAAGGAAAAATAGCACTTTAGATGATATGGTACTACTAGATGTAAAGGAATGGTTTTCAATCTTTTTTTTTTTAAAATAGTTTCTTGAAATCTAACATACATCTATCAATGTCTTTTCTGGGTCAATTCCCAGGAAGCATAGAGAGTATAGGGAGTATAAAAAAGAAAAAGATGGAGACAAAAACTCAATTACGTAGAATAAACAGAATTTCCACAGGCTGGCCTAAGTCTTAAAAAAAAAAAAAAAAAGAGAAACCACCACGTGCAAGGCAGGCTATGTCAGAAATGCTCTGAAGAGCACTCGATGATGACAGGCACCGACAGAGAGTGTCACAGGAAGTATGGACGATCAGACAGTCTAAATTCAAGAGCCATAGAAAGAAAGCATGACTTTCTAAGCTTTATCATCACAACGCTTCAGCACTGATTCTGCCTGTTCGACTTACCCAAAGGTAATCTCCGTCAACCTTTACGGCAAACTTAAGTTTCCGCAGACGAACGAGAGCGGGAGGAGAGCCGGAGATGTCAGAAATACAGCGGACGACTCCGGCAATCTGTCCACAGAGCAACTCTTGTTGATCGAGCAGGGTCTGTGGGGAAGGAGCACATTCCAGATAGGAAGTTGAAATTCTTGAACTCTGGCGTCATTTCTTAGAGCAAACTAAAGCCCGCAGGCCAAATCCAGTCTGTTGCCTGTTTTTACATGGCCCATGAGCTAAGAAAGGTTTTTGCATTTTTTAAGCATTATAACAACAAAAAAGAATATATGATGGAGACTGTATGTGGCTTGAAAAGCTGGAAGTATTTACTATCCAGCCCTTTACAAAGTTTTCCAACCCCTGCCAGGGACAACTGAACTGTTAGAGAACAGTTGAGGACATGATATGACTGCACAGAATGTATTTTTGCTCCTAGGATTATAGGCACACGCTTGAGCAGAAGCATGAGCCTTTCATTCCTATTCAAATCACCTGCACGGAGTGGCCAGACTGGCCCAGATTAATCCGAATTTTCCAAGTCAGCACATAAGCCCATGAGTTAATGCACAGAACCTTCCAATCAATCTCAGCCTTAACTAAACCACGGGACAGCCAGACATTACATTACGTGATACAAGAGAAAACATACCCACCACATACAAAGAATCCTTGCCTCAGAGAACTGAACTTGAACCTAATCAAGGCTCTAAATCTTACTGCTAATTTAAAGTATATATAATAGATAAAAGACATTAAACGACACCACTGTGAGGAAATAATTAGCCAAATCCAGAGGGTGGGACATTCTAACATTCTACAAATGACCTGGTTTCTTCAATAATTCAATGGCATGGGGGGATAAAAAGTGGTGGATGAAGAGTGTTATAAAAAAAAAACTTAAAATACAAAATAACCAAATAGAATACGTGAATGTTATTTGGATCCTGATTAGGAAAGAGAGAGATAGAAGGATGGAAGAATGAGTAGATGAGTGGAAGGATGGATAGAAGGAAGGAAGGACAGACTAAGTAACATTCAAGTTAACAGGAAAAATTTGGGGTTTTTTTTGTTTTTGTTTTTGTTTTCTTTCAGAGACAAGGTATGCCTCTGTTGCCCAGGCTGCAATGCAGTGGCATTATCATAGCTCACTGTAACCTGGAACTCCAGGGCTCAAGCGATCCTCCTGAGTAGCTAGGACTACAGGTACATGCCACCACACTCAACAATTTTTTATTTTCTCTAGAGACAGGGTCTAGCTATGTTGCCCAGGCTCATCTCTAACTCCTGGCCTTAAGTGATCCTCTCACCTTGGCCTCCAAAGCACTGGGATTACAGGCATGAGCCATTGCACCCAAATTTTTCAAGGAAAAACTTGAATATAGTCTAAGTATCAGATAATATTAAGGAATTATTGTTACTAATTATTATAATTTCTTTTTTTTGAGACAGGGTCTTGCTCTAATGCCTAGGCTAGAGTGCAATGGCCTCGTCATAGTTCGCTGCAAGCTTAAACTCCTGGGCTCAAGCAATCCTCCTAGCTCAGCCTCCTGAGTAGCTGGGACTACAGGCGCGCACCATAACACCTCACTAATTTTTCTATTTTTTATAGAGACAGCAGTCTCACTATGATGCTCAGGCAGGTCTCCAACTCCTGGCTTCAAGCAATCCTCCCACCTCAGCCTCCCAAAATGCTGGGATTACAGGTGTAAGCTACCATGCCTGGCCTAATTATTGTAACTTTTGCTAGGTGTGGTAATGTTTAAAATAATGTCCTTTTCAGTTACAGATGTTACTCAATACTGACAAGATGACAACATCTAGAATTTGCTCTGGGGAAGAAAAAAAAGAGAGAGGAGATTAGGATGGGTCATACAATACTGGCAAAGTGTGGCTCACTTTTGAAGCTAGATACCCTCCTCTATACTTTTGTATATGTTTGAATAAAAGCTTTTTAAAAATGAGCCGATCAAAAAATTGGGGGAAGGGGTAAACAGACAAAAAAATCATGATGGAGACAGAAAGCTGGAGATAACAGAGGTACTGAGCTGCCTAGGAATTTTAAGACCAGAACAACAAGAAATAGTGTAACTAGGAATAAGACAGTAGAAATGTTGAATGCCTAGATGAGCCAGAGAAAACTGTCCTAATCTAAACCCTACACTTTTGAAATGCTACCACTTGAAAGCAAAGGGATGGATCCCCACTAACAATAGAATGCTGTGTGGCTTACCTGGGAAGGATAAAAATAGCAAATGCCGGCTCTTGTTGGGTCTCCTTCTTCCTTTACCTTGGAACCATCATAAAGAAAAAAATAGTTCCACCTGGCAAGAGAACAGATTGGAGCCATGTTTCCTTTCATCCAGTGATCACTGTGTTTTAAAACACAGCTTCCCGTTTCCCAGCCCGAGGAGGGCTCATCACTGTGTTTGAAAGCCTACTGGTGGCCCCAGAGGAGAAAGAACCCCAGTAGCAACGAATAGATAAAAACATTTCATAAGTGCAGGAAAGTTGAACTAAAAATATGCCTCTATCCAGCTGTCAGACCATCTGCCCGAAAAGACATGAGTAGCTAGAGGAAAAATGGAGCGCCCACAATGACTGCTCTTACTTGAAACACTGAACCTTAACTGTAAAACCACATGGCCTGATAACACTGTCTTTTAAGGCTCTGATGACAAAATAAGTTAGGGGTGTGTCCCAGGCACTCCTAACAACTGCTGAGCCCAGAGATCTCTGGAAATAACCCTTCTACCAGGAATTCACGCATTCACTTAACAAACATTTACGGAGGGTCCAGAGCATGCTCTGAGTCTGCCAAGCAAACAAGCAATTTCAATGCAGGACAGTGAGTCTACAAAAGGGGAAAAACAGGGGCCTATGAGAGTTCACAGAGAAACACTCAACAACTCTGCCCGTCCAAATCTCACCGAGAATCATTCACACATGCTCGCTCATCAACTTTCCCCCCACTCCCCAGATTCCCCAGGAATCTTTCTTCAGAATTTCTGTAACCCTCCGTTCTTCCCTCAAGACTCTTATAGACCACTCTGCAGTATAATTATAATTTCTTAATGTTATCACGATTACTTCTTTAAGATCACAAAGCAAACTCCCCAAAGGCTGGGCCTCAGTTTTACTTCTGCATCTCTAAAATCACATTTATGAGGCTGTAGCGCAAGAAAGAATGGGACCACTTTGTCACCTGTGTGCTTCTCCGGATGGATGCCTTCTCCAGCCTCCCTCCCTGGCTCCCACCTCATCTTCCAGATAACAAGCACCAACTCTGTCTCTGGCATGGTCCGCGGCATGGTCCGCTTTCCCTGAGATCTAGGGGCAGATGTGCAACTGGTTGCAGGACAAGTCCAGAGCAAAAAGGCTCAGGAAAGTTTCAAAGCCAACTCAGAAACTTCACGCTGGCTCTGTCTTTCCCTTTCCCTGTGTTCTCTGAATGAAAGTCCCCCTGCTCATACAGGCACACAAAAGAAAACTTGGGTGTTTTTTGCAACTGCTCCATCTTTTTTTTACTTCCACATACATAACTGGTCATTAAATCCTGCAAATTCTAGTTAAACCATGCCTTTCCTTTTCATCTCCCTGATTAATGTTTGCTGAACCGAATGATGAAAAGGATTAATCCACTTGAGGTTGAGAAGGGAACTGAGTTTCAGGCAAGCGTTGAGTAACACCCTTCAATTGCCAGTCTGGCCAAACCTCTTCTTGCGGTGTAATTCTCAACTGTAACCATTCCTAGTCTCTCCAAAGTGAGGCTGACAACGCCCACATTATTATCGAAGCTGGCTGCATGATCCAGCTGTGGTTAGCTTCTCTATAATCTATCAGCAACGCCAGACTTGTTCAAATACTGCAAGAGGTTTTCAAGGTTAAAATAGATTCGTTTTGGAGAGAAATGGCTCACATGCTTGACTCAGCTGCTCTAAAGAAAATGGTATTTTTACTGTTTTCTTAATAAAAGCAAGATAATCTGGCTGGGGATTTGCAATTAACCCAAAAGACGCACGCAGTAGCCTAGTGAGAGCTAAACCGCAGCAGGCCTGGATACTCACCAAGAGGCTGACTTTGTCTCTGTGGAGGTGGTGGTGGCCATTTACTCAGCAGCCGTCCTCATTCTGTTTGGCTTTTTTTTTCCGGTATCACTTCTTTCTCCCCAGCTGTGGCCGTCACTCTGTCTCCCCGGTCCAGTGAATCGGGACGTGGTAGGTTTAAGTGTCGTCAGTCACAACTGCCACCTGCTTAGTTTTCATTTAGCGTGAAAGTGTCACTTCCCTTCCTTGCAGGCCCTTCAGTTTCATGAATACCTCTTCTGCCCCTCTGACAACTCAGAGAGAATATAATAAAGTAAGCGAATCCTAGCAGAAAAGTCAAGTCTATGAGTCTGGTTCCAAGAGCGTCAGCGTGGCAGGATGACCTCTTCAAGTTCCTCTCCAGGAAGGCCCAAGGGGGGACATGAATGCTGGAGGACGTATTTTGAAGAAATTTCTAGCTTGTCCACTTCAAAGCCATCCTGAAGGTTCTTTTTAAAAGTTTTGAAGCTTCCAGTTCAAACATCGGTGCCTTGACTCTGAAACAAACAAAACAGCTATTTCAGAAACTCATGAGGGAGCATGTGACCCAGCAGGGTTAAACAACTGGTATATTTCAAAGGAACTTTCTACAAGGGTGACAATGATGTTTCAAAACAAAAGAAGGGAACAAAAAAAAATTTTTTAAAAAATAAGAAGGGAGGGTAGCAGAGACTTCAGAGTAAGGGCCTTAGTTTCTCTAACAGACACATCATGAGCCTCACAAAAGATAATTTAAATAACTATTGTGAAAATGCTCAGGGTGTTAAAACAGCTATACAAATAAAACAGCTGCTGTAGTAATAAGGGAACCCTAATTAGGGAACTGTCACCTTAAGAGCCCAAAACATATCTGAACCTGCAGGATTCCAGAGCTGGGCAAGTTTCCAAAAAATAAAAAGAGAACTTTATCAAGTGGCTTTCAAATTCCCACAAGACAACTCACTATATCACGGAATTTCAGAGTCAAAAGGGACCCTGGCATCATTTAGTCTAATCCTTGTCTCTTACACTCTCCAAAAATTACCTTGATTGCCTCTGCCTTACTCCCTCCGGAGATAGATGGTTCGCAAATGTATCCTTCTACCAAACTGAAATCTGCTTCCCAGTAACCTCCACTCACTGGTCTGGATAATACTCTCCAAGAAAACAGAAAACAAAGTCTAATCCTTCCATGTGACAACCCCTGGGTCACTTCGAAACTGTATTCCTATTGTCACTTTCTCCAACCTCAAAGTCACCAGCGACAGGGTCTTGTGCTTGCTCACAATTCTGCCATCTTTGGGAACACAATGCAGTTTGCTAAGATCTCTTTGGAAGAGAGAAGTCCCTAGAGAGGACCCCCCTCAATCTTTGATGGCCTCTAAAATCTCTATTATTTCTCAGCTCTAGATATCTTGGACTGGGCCTCCATAGGATCATACTCATTGTATTCTACAGAGCATATCTGGGTGCCTGTGGAGGGGGCATTTCAGTTCCTGCAACCACGAACAGCAGCCTGAAACCCCTTATCCCTTGCTCCCAGAAAAGTGGGCCCTACACTGCCGAGGTCCACTCCCTAATCTCTGAAAGGTCCAGAAGAGGCCAGTAATGATCCTGGGGTAGGGGCAGACGTCAGGATGTGACTAGAAAAGGCTCTGATGGCCTGGGAAGTGGCAGTAACGAGGAGGGAGGGGGTGTCAAGAAGTGGCTTGCAAAGGCCTGGGAGCGGCGGTAGCGGTGGAGGAGGTGGCTGCAGTGGGGCAGAATGGCGGGGAAAGGGGCGCTAAAGGCTGCGAAGGGCCAGGAAGCTGCCGGACACAGCCCCGAAGCTGAGGAAGCGATCGGTAACCGCGTGAGGGTTCTGCGAAGTGTCCGGCCTCAGCTCCCGGGGACTGGGAAAAGGTGGGCAAAGGCCCGGGATCACGCGCAGCCAGGGCTCTCGGCGGGGTCCCGCCCCTCTGGGTCCCCGCACTTCCGAGCGCCGCCCACCCACCGGAGTAGCCGGGCAGCCTCGTGCTCGGGGTTCGGGACTCTGGCCCCGGAATGGGGGGCGGCAGCTGGGTCCCCGAGACTCCCGCCCAGTACCTGCGCGCGGGGTAGTGAACCTCTGGGTCAGGCGCCGACCCGCCTACCGCCCCCTACAGCTCCCGGCGCGAGGCGATGACGTCAGGGCCGAGTGCGTCGCGCGCCGATGAGGTAAGAGGGCGATGGCGGCCGCCGCGGCCAGCGCTGTGGATCCGTGGCAGACTGCGGCTCCGCGGAGGAGGCGCTCGGCTGCGCGGCGGCCGCGGCGAAGGGATGCGGCAGCCCGAAACCCGGAGACCGAGCTCGAGGCGGACATCGGAGCCGTGCTTCGTCGCATCCGGGAGGCTGAGTGAGTGAGGGGTCGGTGCTGGTTCGAATCCTCGCGCCCATGGGCAAGCTCTGAGCCTCAGTCTCCCCATCTGTAAAATGAGGATATACTGCAAACCCACTAAGGGGTTATTGTGAGCATTTAACGGAGGTAACACGCTCATCACAGGTCTGGATTATATTAAGTAAAGGCTGTCTTTCCTTTTATTGTAGTTAACAGCTGTCTGACCTTGGGCAACTGGTAATCCCCGTGCCTCAGTTTTCTCATCTGTGAGATGGGAATGAAAATGGTACTTACTTAGACTTGAGGATTCAGTGAAGTAGTAAACGGAAACCATTTCCTGGCACGTGGTAAACGCTGTGCCAGTGTTTGCTATTAACATGCAAATGCTGGTTATTGCTGATGATGTTAACCAGAGGGAAGCAACTCAAACACGTTATTGTTATTATCTTCATTAGTTTATCAGACAGTTGCCTTATGCTTGGCACTAGCTTAAGCATTCTGCACTCTATTGATGTTGAGCATCGCAGCCACGCTAGGATCCTGGTAGCTCCCAGAGTCACAAAGAGACATGTATAACATATGGAACCAGATTTCAAACCCAGGCCCTTATGGCCCCAAAGCCTGTGCTTCCAGCTCTCCATTATTTAGGACTCTCCCACCCCGGATGCCCCTTATTGCTTGCTCTGTACTTTAAAAAGTACATAGTGCCTAACACAGAAGAAACCCTCAATAAATGTTCCCTACTGTTGCTACTTAGTATTATTACCTTTACTTCTTTGCAGCCCTGTTAAAGCTGAATAAATAGACTTAGTTACCACTTCAGATCAGCATCTGAAGGGCCATCACAAGAAAAAGAACTTAGACTAATTTTGTGTGCTCCTCTCCCCTATAATTAAGATCAAGAGGCAGTGGTGACTCAGAGGTTACCTTTGAATGGAGAGAAGTTGCTGACCAACTGGCTGAGCCTGGAAACAAAAAAATAGCAGCAGCAATTCTTTCTAAGCTCTCAGAAGGTGCCAATCAGAGTGAGTGTGAGTGAGGTTTAGAGAATTCTTAAGGCACTTTCTGTATCCCTTGACATTGTTATTATTTCCTCAGCTGCTTCAGTACCCCCCAGGAGCTCTCTGCTTCTCCCAGCATCCTGAGCAGGGAGGGATCCAGCACTTCACATGTTGATCTATACACACACCCACCAGTTGACAACAAACTCCTGTGTACATTGTCCCTTTACCCTCTGTGAGGAACATGGGACAGCCCCTGGGCAGATATTTTTCAATTCTCTCTACTTCTCTCCGAGCCCTCTAAATACTCTCTCTGGCTTATGACTTGTCAGTTTAAATCCAGTTCATTTTAATTCACTCTTTGCTTTGTTTTGATCTAGGTTTGTGGAAACCAGTTGGCTTGAATAAAGAAAGCCCAGACACTTGGTTTTGTCTCTTCTTTTACTTTCCTCTTAGAGTTATTTATAACAGAAGCCATTTATTGAGTACCTACTATGTGCCAGGTACCGTGCTAAGAAATGTTAACCAATTTAATGCCTCCTGTAATCCTCCGAGGTAGGTATGATTCTTAGCCCCATTTTAGAGATGCAGAAACTAAAGTTCAGAAAGGCTAAATCCAAGTATTTAACAACCATTTATTGAGCTGCAACTCTATGCCAGGCTCCAATGTGGACCAAGGATACAGAACAGACCCAGACCCATCTGTGGGAATTGGGGGCCACCTCCAGAGCCCTCTTTCCTGCCCTCTCTGAGTCCCAGCAGTTTCTGCTCTGACTCTGGACGTGATCACCACGTGTCCCCCTCCTGTTGGTAAGGGTGGGCTGTGTGTCACAGAGCACTTGGTCTTCTATGCATCCAGGTCATGGTCAGGAGAGTCACTGTTGGGGCGGCCCTGAAATGGATAGGACATAATCATGCCATATTTTGTCTCGATAGGGAGGACCTGCTTATCTCTGATTTCTGGAGTTCAGCACTAGGTGGGTACCACGGTGAGTGGGAGGAGGGCCTGAATGTGGGCAAAGAAGGGAAGTAGTCCTCATTTGAGGACATTTTGCTTCAGAGTGGTGTACATGCTGGGTTCTAATTCTGCCATCTCCCCTTGCAGCCCTGTGTCTCAACATTTAACTACCTCTGACCTTCAGTTTCTTTGTCCGTGAAAAAGGATTGATAATGTACATGTCCTGTAGTTTTGAGAATTAAATGAGGCTGTTAAGTGCTTAGAGCAGTAGTCACCTGCTGCATAGAAGGCAATAAACATTAGCTATCATTATTGCTGAAATTTGTATTTATCTTGCTTTTCCTTGATATTACAATGTAGACCTTTTCCCTCATATAATTATATCTCTTCCTAAATATAATGTGGCAAAATAATATTTATGTATGAAGTGAACATTACCGTAGTTATTTTTATTCAGGGACATCTACAGTTTTCCTTTGTTTTTTAGTTATTTTTATACATAACTTTACAATGAGCAACTTTTTGCATAAAGCTTTTACCAAATTTAGGACGACCGTCTCAGGATATCGTCCAAAAGTGGAATTGTTAAGTGAAAGATGGTGACCAACTTGCTATCCATTGTCAAGTTTTTCTCCAAAAAGCTTTTACCAATTGTTTTCTCAGCAAGGACTTAAAGAGCTAGTTTTTCATGCAAACTTTCCTAGCCTGGGGGCTTATTTAAAGATATCTTTCCTAGTTTGATATGTGAAAAATTGGTATCTAATTGTTGGACTGTATGGGTTTTTGTTTTGCCTACAGATTTGTTCAACTAAATTCAATACCAGAGTAATAAAAGGAGAGACAAGAGAACCCTTCTCTATATGAAAAGATTTAAACAGAGTATTTTTCATTAGGTTCTTCAAATGTCCAGCCTACATTTTTTTCTTTGAACTTTTTACACATTAAGTATTTGTACTCCTAGCCATTTATAGTGTGATTTTGAGAGTTATGCTCCTCTATTCTTTGTTGTAATCAAAAACATAGGCATTTCAGAGCATAGTCTACATTTATTAGGAGCCTCCTGTTAAATTAGAATTAGTTCACATTAGAGTTTTAGAAGCACACTGTGCCCATGAATAAAGCCTATTTTTTGTTTGGAACAGCATCTTGGGTTTGGAGCCCTGGGAGTCCAGGGGCTGGGACAGCCTGTGGATGTCGCTGCACGTCCCAGGCATGTTTGGGAGCGAGGCCAGTGGCTTTTCTCTCTGAAAAGTTGAAGGCTTTACTGCCCTGCTCCCCTTCTCACTGGGTCTGTGGACTTCTTTTGTGGGTGATGTGGTTCACGGGGTCAGAGCACACCCTCTGACTGCATCTGGGGGTCTGCTCTTTCAGATACCGTCAACAGATGTCTCACAGAACTTCTGGAACAATTGAAGTGCCCTGTCAGGACTCTTTCAGATGCCCTTGGAAACCTGCACCTTGACTCACCAGCTGAGTCAGACGTGGCCCCTGGCTCCATCCCAGGAGAGAACCTGGTCACAAGACCCTGCCATCTGAAGTGTGTGTGTTACGGCATCGGGAACTTTGCCACCTGCGTCATAGCTAGGAACCAGCTAACATTTTTGCTTCTCTTCTTGGAAAAGTGCCAGGTAAGTTTTTAGTTTCATCTTTATTTCTCCCTCCCCTGGTCTTGCACACAGATATTCGGGTTGAAATAAATAACTCATTCTTCCATCTTAGATTCCCAGAAGTCACTGCTGGGTGTATGACCCTCTGTTTAGCCAACTTGAAATTGCCGTTCTTAACACCCTGGGTGTGACTGTTCTCAGCGAGAATGAAGTAAGTGGTTTCAGAAAGGGGGGTGGGGCAACCTGTACAAATCCTGACCCCACTGACCCCGGCCCCTGCCCGTGACCACCAGTTTCTATGCGGTGGCAGTCACTCCTCTCCTCTGCTTCCTTTCCCAGTACCTGTGACACGTGACCAGCCGATCCACTGCCCACATTTTGGTTTGTGTTGTGCCCATCAGAAAAACTTAAATTACACAAATAGCATGAATCAGAACATGTTAGGTTTGCAAAAATCTTGTGAGAATTCTTTGTCCAGAAATTATGCTAAGTTGATATTTGCTGTTGCTACTGAAAAATAACGAAGGCCAGGTGTAGTTGCTCATGCCTGTAATCCCAGCACTTTGGGACGCTGAGGTGGGAGGATCACTTGAGGCCAGGAGTTCAACACCAGCCTGGGCAACATAGCAAGACCCTGTCTCTAAAAAAAGGAAAAAAAGAAGAAAGAAAGAAATTAGCTAGGCTTGGTGGCACATGCTTATAGTCCTAGCTGCTTGGGAGGCTTGAGTCAGGAGGACTGCTTGAGCCGAGGAGTTTGAGGTTACTGTGAGCTATGATTGCATCACTATACTCCAGCCCAGGTACACAGCAAGACCCTGTATCTTAAAGATTTCACAGTCTGGGTCCCGCAAATGAGGTCTTTCTGGTTGGAATTTACCCCAGCCCAGGGGAGGTAATAAAAGGGAGTAGAAAATCTCCCCTCTTTGATGTGGTAGCCCAGTTGGACCCATAGCAGCTGGCTATAAGTTGTGGCTTAATATTCTGCCTATCCCTGCACCCCCCAACCCCCCCAGATTTGCTGGGATTTGACATTTCTGAGACCTGTGGAAAAAGAAATTCATTTCTCAAGCACAGGGCTGAAACCAGTAGGAGCAAATAACCTCTGGATTTAGTTTTGCATTGTTTGGGGGATTATAGAATAATCATTTGATTCCTGTGTCCTGAAACTGCCATCTCATTACTTATGTAATATGAAAATTA